TCCCAATTCCCTGTAATTCACACTGCCGCTGGGGATCTGAGCCGACTGCCAAGCATCCCTGTAGCTCACCCTGCCACTGGGGAAGGAGGACGCTGCTCTCCTCTCCCTGCAAGGTACACTGCCGCTGGGGGACAGGACCAACTATCTCTGTCCCCTGTAACTCAGCCTGCCGCTGGGGAATGGAGCTTGGGCTCCCAATTCCCTGCAATTCACTCTGCTGCTGGGGGACAGAAGCAACTATCTCTGTCCCCTGTAACTCAGCCTGCCGCTGGGGAATGGAGCTTGGGCTCCCAATTCCCTGCAATATCTCCCGCTGGGGAATGGAGACTGGGCTCCCAATTCCCTGCAGGACCGGTGGAGAGACCTCGATCCCATCTCCACCAGCCACCTGGGGTTCTTCCCAGTAATACTCTGCAATATCTACCCAGCTGAATGGGTCTGGATCTGGGTCTCCACTTCCCTGCTGAGCCTTCTCACTGGAGTGGAACAGATCTTGGTAGCCCTGCTCCAGCTCCATCTCTCGGGTCACTAGCTGGACCAGGTCTTGCTCGATCTCATGAGTGTCATCCCAGTCATACCTGCTCTCCCTCCACTCCAAGAGATCACTGAACCAGGCTTGTGTAGGGCTCCCAAACTCAGGCTCTGAAAAAGCCTCCCATAACAAGCCAGGACCATCAAACTCCTTTCCCTCTGGCTTGTCATGCTTGGCTGTCCAGGGCAGGTACTGTGCCCCATACCACCAGAGCGCCTGGTAGGCATCTTCCAGCCACATCTCCTGCCATACCCGGAGCTCCAATTCCTTCACCTATTCATCCAGGGGCTGCTCTCCCAGGAAGGGCATCCGCAGGGCTAGTCACTTCTGCAATCGCTGGTCTTCCTTGGGGAGTCTCTCGCTCCGCTGGTACTCCACAATACCCAGTGCCTGGTACCAGATGCCTTTGCGAACTGCATCTCGGTCATCCATGACACCCTCATCGTACTCCACTGCTGGTTCCATCCTGGTGCTGTCAGGGTCGCTGTACTGGGACATGTGTTGCCCTCAAATTGTAAAATCCAAAGAAATGGTGTCTCTTGTAGCTGTCCTTCTGGCTGTAGGAACGATCCCGCCGCTTGCCACCAATTGTAACGGCACCCTCAGCATAAAAGGGTTAAACTGCCGTTTAGTAGATCTTCCCTTCCAGAGACACAGGCACAGCTACTGCAGAACACCAATCCGCCGAACAGGAAACCATATGAATGCCATAAACAGCTGAATAGGAAAAACCATACGAATAGGTTTACACTCCTAGCAGTTGAACTGGAACAGTATACAATAAATCCCCCCAAGAACGAGACAAAGCTCCGTGTTGAGGGTCAAGCAGTGAACTGCCAGAGCTGTTTTGGTTTTGGAACACAACCAATAAACACATACAATACACTCAGACACTCCCACACAAAATCCTCCCCTCTGCCTGTGATACAATTACCTTACACAATGGATAATGTAATTATAACAAGCAGAGAAATAAAATTTTTCCACATTATTCATAACTTGAAAAGTATGCATCACATTCACATAAATTTTACATAAAAGCTTACATTTTCAGAATCAGCATACTCCAAATACAAACATATGTCAAATTCATACAAATTGGTCCAATGGTTCAAAAGATAGATCGTAGTCCTTTGTGACCAAAGGAAGCATGGCTTTTCTGCCCAAAACCAGTTCCACAGAGTCTTCTATCCTGGAGATAATTTGGAAGTAATCCAATTATCTCTAAAGACAGAAGCAAAACTCCATTGAACACATGGCAGCAAAAGACAATAAAACACATAAAAACATATAACTGTGCAGCCATTGCACAAAACAGGTACATTCAACATATCCCCAGAGAGCTCAGATCTGAGCGCACATTATTACTGAATGGCGCTCAGAGCACACACATACAGTTCAATTGCCATGGAGCCAAAGTCTTTCTCATAGTCTTTCATTATACGAATGGGCTCCATGGCATAGCTATCTGGGGTATCACCGCTCAAACAGTGCAAGCACCAAATGACCTGGCTTTCATGTCTTTGCAGGGAAAAATCAAGCCTTTTAACATGGGGCCATAATCCAAAGGCAACAGGCGAGCAACCAGGCTTCTTCAATGCAATGTGGCGAGATTGGTCTCGTCACAATCAGTACCAAGCATCTGAAACTACAGACACACATGCTCGCAGCAAAGATGGCCGCCACAAGGAGACCTGATCTCTGGGCCCCCCTCCCACGTGGATCACATAGCAGAGGCCTTTGATCACTTTTGGGCACAATTTGGGGCAAAACTCGCTGAACAGGCACAGAGACGGGTGTGAAGAATTACCCTCCACTCATTCGGTTCTCTCACTCCCTGCTACTTTAATCGTTGGATTTATTACCTTTATTACTGGTTCATACTTTCATTTCGTTAAATTCCCTTGTTCGGTAAAATAGTCAGTTTACCGACCGAAGACCACCCTGGGTAGCAATAAGAACTTAGAACTCTGAGTAACTGCACGAAAACCGCAAGTTAATTGACTGCTCCCGAATGGCAGTCAGCGGGACTTGGTCGTCGGGTGCCTGGAACTGTTTTCGACATGGCACTCTAGAAGTCCCATACGAACCCCTTCTAAATATGGCAGAAGAACAGAGTTCGGGAGTTTGTAACAGACGAACGAGGGAAGCATTCTCCACGAACCAAATTGAAAACACCTGCAGCAGTTTTCATGAAAATTTTATCCGAATGGAGACCGGCTCTTGCTCCTGATTCTATGGAACTCTGAGTCGGCTACAATCTCGTGGCGAGCCAGTCAAACTTCCACACGGTATAACTCTAAAACTACCGAACGGATTTTCACGAATTTTGAATATGTTGCTCACATCATCTCGAAGGCCTGCGGTATCTCTCCGGGTTGCAGGACAGTGTAATACCCATGGACGGTATCAGCTGAACGGTGTGGCCATCCACCCCATCCTTTAACCATTGCATAGGTAGGGGAAATCAATGCTTGCTGCCCCTTTTTGAGTTTTACAGTTTTTTGGGAACTCTACAGCATATCACTTACCTTACTCTTTTTAATTATAACCAGCAACTCTGAATCTCCTACGGGCATTGTATCCTACTGTGCTGTTTTCCCATTGCATGCACCAATGCACATTCCTATTCCTATTACATTAGTTTATTCCTTATTTTACTTATTCCAGTGGAAGAGGTAAGGAATATGTGAAATTCTCGCTCTGCTCCCTCGATTGATGCTGGGAGCTGGAATTTGACATAAATTTTGCACCAGCTTCACTAAACAGCGCAAAATGTAGCCGAACAACAAGAGCACCATGACAGCATGACAGTAAATGACAGCAGGCCCACTGGACCTCAGGGCAAGCCGATCCACTTCAGCTCTCCCAAAGGTAAGGAGGCTGGGTGGAATTAAATTGAATTAAAATAAATAATAGTGTGTGAGTGTGTGTGTCTGTCAATAAGTGAGTGTCTGTAAGTGTGTATTTCCGTCAATGTGTGTGTGTGTGTGTGTCAGAGAGTGTGTATATGTGTGTGACTGTCAGTGAGTGTGTGTTTTTAATTAACTCTCCCTCTGATCTTAAAGGAATGGTGTTTTTACTCACATTCTTTCCCGTGCCGGTATTGCCAGGCTGGCCCCGCCTCCATGGCTGAGATAATAAAGATTGATCATCTCAGCCAATCAAATGCTTACCCATAGGAAAGCATTGGGAGGCTTCTACGCATGAATGGCAAAACACTGCGCCAATCAGCATCTCCTCACAGAGGTGCAAAAAATCAATGTATCTTTATGTGGAATGTTCGGTGACTCCATACAGAGTGTGAGATGCTGAATGTAGGTGCTGCACACTGTGCAGCACTGAGATAGGAACCACTTTAGTGGCCCTTCGAGTGACGGCCTTTAGAGGTGTTACTAGGCAGCAATGTAAAAACTGTATTTTCTCTGAATGCCCACGTCAAGATCATTTATAAACAGATTAAGAAGTAGTGAACTCAGGACAGAACCCTGAAACACTCCACTTACCACTTTTGTCCAATTTGAAAATTTTCCATTTACAACTAGTCTCTAAACTCTATTTTTAAGTCAGTGTTCTATTCGTGAACACAATTTTATGTCTAAACCAACTGATTTCAGCTTAACTAGTAAGTGTAACCTGTTGCATGGAACTGTATCAAATGCCTAGGCAAAATCTGAACAGATCACATCTAGTGAATCATCCAATCTATACTTCTTCTAACTTCTTCATAGAATGCAATTAAGTTAGTTTGGCATGACGTGACTCTTATAAATCCATGTTGATTCCTACTAATGATATTTCTGTTCAAAATAAATCTGTTTACATTAACCTAAATGAATTATTTGTTTAGATTAACCTTATTTAATTTCTGAAGCACTTTATTCTGTGTTAACCAATCATGTTTGCTATAAAACTTTTGTAAACAGGGTTTGCTGATCTTACACACATAGACACTTCTTCCCATTATAAAGAAGAAGAAAAATATATTTAGAATTTCTGCCTTGTCGTGATCCTCTTTGATTAACTCACCCATCTCACTTTCAAATGGACCAATGCTTTCACTCTTAACCTTTTTGGCATGACCATGCTTATTGGTGTTGGTCTTGTTCTCTTTGGCAATGAGCTTTTCATTTTCAAGTTTAGCCCATTTAGGCATGCTTATATTTGTTATAGAACGCAATCCACCCCTTTGATTTAAGGGTTTTGAATGTCTTATATCATGTGAGTGACCCTTGTACTAAGTCACATTGGTTTTAATTAGCTTATTTTATATTTGTTTGCCAGTGGTATGTATTGAGAAATGTACTTTTGTATAGCCCATATAAATTTTTTATTTTATTTAATCTCAAATGATTTTTGTTTTTAAATAAGTCAACATTATTCGTTATGACAAGATCCAGAAAAGCATGTCTTCTAGTTGGTGCTTCTACTAACTGAGACATGAAAGTATTGTTTATCAGGTCCAAAAAGCCCGGCGGGAGGAGGACCCTGAGGGTGGGGGCACTCTCAGGGCACTTTAGTGCCAGGAAAACGAGTTTGTTTTCCTGGCACTATAGTGGTCCTTTAATGGCCCAATCAAGTGTTTCATCCCATCAAGTCTCAGGAATCCCAACTATGTAATTCTGCTCCTTATATGCCAATATCTCAAGCTCCCCTATTTTCCTTCACAAGCTTCTTGCATTAGCAAGCAGACATTTAAAGTTACCACTTGTTTCTTGAAGTTCATTGAAAACATGTAATTAACCCCTTCAGGACCGGACTGTTTTAGCCATGTTGTACGTTAAGGACCAGGGCTGTTTTAACACTTTTGTGGTTTTTGTGTTTAGCTGTAATTTTCTTCTCTCTCATTTACCGTTCCCATACAAGTTATATATTGGTTATTTTTTTCAGGACAAAAAGAGCTTTCTTTACATACCATTTGTATCATGTCATATAATTTACTTTAAAAAAAAATAAAAGAATATGGTGAATAATAATACTTTTTTATTACTTTTACTTTACTTTTATCTTTTACTTATCTACAAAAGCTAATGAAAAAAACTGCTAAATAGATTCAAAATATTGTCCTGAGTTTAAAAACATCCAGTGTTTACGTGCTTTTTTTTTTGCAAGTTATAGGGCTATAAGTACAAGTAGGAAATTGCTGTTTCAAAATATATATTTTTAAAATGTATCAATAGTGACATTGTAACACTTATCTGTCATAAATCTCTGAATCACACCTCAGATGTACATATTTTTTTAAAGTAGACAAACTAGGGTATTCAATATGGGGTATGTCCAGTCTTTTTTAGTAGCCACTTAGTCACAACCACTGGACAAAGTTAGCGTTTATATTTGTTTGTGTGTTACAAAAGTTTTTGACGAAGTGGCTACTAAAAAAGACTGAACATACCCCATTTGCAATACCTTGGGTTGTCTCCTTTTGCAAATGGTAGCCATCATGGGGGTAATTCTCATTCCTGGGCTACCATACGCTCTGAAAGGCAACATAATCAACCTGGAAATTTTCAGTGTAAAAAAATTTGACCCTGTAACTTTCAAAAATACTATAAAACCTGTACATGGGGCGTACTGTTATACTCAGGAGACTTTGCTGAACACAAATATTAGTGTTTCAAAACAGTAAAATGTATCACATCAATTATATCATCAGTGAAAGTGCCGTTTGTGTGTGAAAAATGCAAAAAACTTCACTTTCACTGACAATATCATCGCTGTGATATGTTTTACTGTTTTGAAACACTAATATTTGTGTTCAGCAAAGTCTCCCTAGTAAAACAGTACCCCTCATGTACAGGTTTTAGGGTGTCATAGAAAGTTACAGGGATAAACACAGTGCTAGCAAATTAAATTCTCTGGACTTTCGGCCTGGGTTGTCAGGCAGGTCCCTCAAATTGCAATCAATAAAACTACTTAATTATGTAAAAATATTACATAAATACGCACGTAGAATTTAAATATATATACATATTTATATATTTGACGTCTACGTGTAAATTTATGAAATTATGTAAGTTTGTATATGGATATATATATATTTCGTTTATTTTTTTTCATTTATTTATATATACATAAATGTATATATAATTTCATTCTAAGTGTATTTTAATATAAATACATATATTAATATCAAAATACAGTTTGAATAAAATTTCATATATATATCTATAATTTTTTTTAAATTTTAAATTATTTTTACATTTTTTTATTAATTTTTATTTACTTATTCATATTTTATAATAATTTATATGTATGTATATATATATATATATATATATACACAATATATATAGGTGTTATATATATATTATATATATTTGTGTGTGATTTAATTCGTAGTGTAAAAATACATATATAAGATATATAGACATATATTATATGGATATATTAAATGGATATAAATTATATTTTTATTCATTAACTATTTTTTATTTTATTTTACACATGCAGGGAGACTGTCTGTCAGCCTATTCTTAGTTCCCTGAACTCACCTTCCACTAACTTTTTCTAACTTTAGCAATATGGGCCAGGACAGCCGGGTCATCCTCATCCCCTCCCAATAATCCATCCATTCAGTCAGCAATATGCCTCACCCGAGCACCCAGGAAACAGCAAACTGTCTGGTTATATCATTAAAATTTTTCTAATGACATTTAATGCCCCCTCACTGTGGTTACCTTGTAGCAGGGAAGGGAGACATCATGAAAATTCCTGTTAGTCTATTGCATGTAGTCCCTCAAGACTCAAGTCCCCTTTCCCCCGTCTACACCCTGGTTTCTCCCCTCACCTTATTTTTCTCCTGATTACTTGACCACTGTGGAAAAACTCTGTACCCAAAGTTCATAATATTAAATAATATGCATAGAACTGAAGTAATTAGAATCTAGTTCTTCAGCTGTTGCGTTGATTATCATTTGTGATCTAATTTTATGAAAATTTTATTTATCTACAACATTTACTGCATTTTTTTTCTTAATTCACTCATGTACAAAAGATTTGATATACTTCTGTTTTAATGTTTGCATTTTAAAAACAAGAATAATAACTACTGGATGGAGAAATAATAATATAATAATAACCAACAAAGATGGAATCTGGGAACCGGGACTTACCATCACTGCAGGTAAGTCCTTATCTCAGTAGTAGCAATGAGAATTTAAAGACTGTCTGCACTGAATCTCTCGGGGACTATATCTTCCTCCTACATAAGTGCTTCTTACTAATAAAACCGTAACCTGACCGCAGAAAGAACTTTGTATACAAATAACTCATAATTAAATGTATTATAACATTCCAGAATAACATTATTGGAAAGCATGTAATAATAGCTAACAACATTGTGTATTTAACTTACAAATAGGAAAAATAGAAAATGATGATTCCACTAAATTGTAAACAATACATTTTTCCAATAGCCATCTGTTTCATAGTTTTAGTTTACAGTTTAGTTTTACAGTTGGTATGATTTGGACAGTGCCAATCTCATGCAGGGCTTAGCACAGGAGAGCTAAGAGAAGTTGCTGAAAAATCATTTTGACTTCTTATAATAGAGGGCAATTGGGCACCATAACCACTGCAGAGATATGTAGTGGTTATGGTGTTCAGATTTTGGATCCATATGTTTAGTCACCTCTCATATCCGTGCTTCCATTTTTCTGTCCAGCTTAGCTACATAGCCGGAATATTGGCCGAGCCTCAGTGTTGACTTGGTTCTGACAAGTAATGCTGTTATGATAGGGGCATACTTTACATTCAGCACTCCACTGCATGATTCTCACGCCATTCTCATGAATCTTCGCAGCATTTTTTTCCTAACATTTCTTCACAAGTCGTTTTTTTCTTTTTTTGCTGTGCATGTGTAGTAGGTACCCTATGCTCCTCTATGAACAGTATTGGACCGGACCATTGCTAAAAGTTTGTATTCCTAATGCTATAGTGTTCTTTTACATTTTTTTCGGGTTTTTTTTCCTTCACCCCTTTCTTAATCCTTCATCAACCTATTTTTTAATCCTCCTTTCTTCCTTCCATCTATACTTCCCATTTCATAACTGATTTGTAGAATCACTATTATACCCCCTTATTCCCTAATTTGCATTCCAAAACGTCAACCTTAATTCCATTTTCCATTCCAAGCGGGAAAATGCTGGAGCCGGATATAAAAAGAGGACGCCAGCTTATCAGGATTATGTACTTGAAAAATACTTTTTTAGAGTCGAAAATGCGTTGTGCCTATAATCGTTTTATCCATCTTGCTGTTTTTATTATTCTGTGTGACCAATAAATAGTATTTTTCCTTGCTACATAAGTTTGGAGATTACTTCTTGGGAGGAAGCAGAGTCGAGATACATTGATGAGCCTGAAAGTCTGAGCCTGCTAGGAATAGGCTCAGCATTATGTGAGTTTAACTGATTTATACCTAACACTGCAATATTTTTAAAACATATTATGCTATGTATTGTATTTTATGTTTTATTGCAGAGGTCTGAAAACTGCCATTTATCATCCAATATTTAAAGTGGTAGTATCTTTCTTTTATTTTGTGTTTGCTCTCGCCTAATCACTGTATTGTCTTACTATTAATTGGTGTTGTGTGGGTAACCAACACTGGTGATTGTAGCAGCACTATTTTACTGTTTTTATTCAGTTACTGTACTGTATTTGTATGAAAAACATGCCTACTTTGCCTATTTACAAATCTGGCCTTCTGACCTACCTACAACATTTAATGTTAAAGCAGCACTGTCACCACCCCAAAGCACTATTGTTTGCTTTCTTATTTATTTTATATATTCATCTGTATGCTGTGAGATTAACCCATAGAGCTATATATCGATCAGTGGGGATTGTTCCGCTGTATGCTGTTTACCAAGAGCTGGTCTATAGCTCTATTAAAGGGACACTATAGGCACACAGACCACGTCAGCTCATTGAAGTGGTGTGGGTGCAGTGTCCCAGGTCCCTTAATCCTGCAGAGGTAATTATTGCAGTTTTTAATAAACTGCAATAATTGCCTTTCAGGGTTAACTCCACCTCTTGTGGCTGTCTATCAGACAGCAACTAAACTGACTTCTGGGCTGTTAGGCGACTTAAAAGCATGTTTTACGCACTATATTATGCACAGACAGCTTGACGGACAGACATACAGCCAAATAAACTCCTTGAAGCCAGTGGTACTTTGGAGTGCAGGCAGAAGTGCATTGACTGCTGATTTTTTTTCCATTTATTTGTAAAAAATGTAGCGCCTTATCATCTTATAGTCTGACGATTTGCTATCATAAAAACCTGCTCAGTATTGGACATATGCAATCAGATGTCCCACCCCTGAAAGAGATTGTTTAGCCAACATCCTGTCTGAAAAGCCCATAAGTTTTATTGAGCTACATTGTTATTTTATGAAACATCCAGACTGCTTAAAGAGACCGTCTATATTACCATGTGACGGGAGATGAAAGGACTCAAATTCTTTTAAAAGTTCTAAAGAATTTTACGGATAGACATGACATAATGCTCGAAATAGAAAGGGAGCCCCTAGGCACAGGTCAAAGCCTGAATGGCCCTACACAAGCATTTTAACTGTAAAAAAAACCTCTGATGAAACAAATGAAAATTATGTAATAAGCACCATCATGTTTGCTAGGACAGAAATAGTGCATATATTGATGAGCACCAAGCAAAAAGGTTGCAGGAAATCCGTTCATTAATCAGAGGAATCCTGCAGCATATGAATTCTGTATACTGTAAACTGGTATGAATAAGTAAAATGTGTCTAGGAACACTTACAGGGTTATTCACTAAAACGAGAATTCAAAGTGAATTCAACGTGAATTTCAAATTTAAGGCAAAATTAGCTGAAGTGACAGGATAACTGATTTAGAGATCTTTTTCCAATTCGGCTTAAATTTGAAATTCACTTTGAATTTACTTCAGTGAATAACCGTTAATGGATCTGTTGAAAAGAAGATTTTGGGGTTTTTTTCGGGAAAAAACACTATCGTAGATTATAGAGTACTGGATGAAACTGTTATCAGAAAAACTGCTTAGAAATCTTTGCAAAAAAAAAGATCAACCACAGCTTTTAGGAAAGTTACAATCTCATATCCTATATTTATCGTCACGATAACGGCAGCCAATGAGCCTTTAACAATGTTAATTCATTTTACCATAACTGGAAGGATTAAAAAGGGCCCTGTACCTTGTGTTTAACACTCTAGTTTCGACACTCGCAGTCCTACTCAGAAGGTGTTATTGACACTTTAACAGCGTCATCAAAAATTTAGCAAATTAGTAAAACATCTCAAAGCACTCGAAAAGACTTTTCAAATAAGTAACAATACTTAAATATATTTCCAAGTGTTACAGCACATGCAGAACAAACAGCACACCTCTCCTGACGTGTTGACATGTACAAGCAACGTTAACTAACAATTTCTCATTAATCTATTACACCGGTTAAAGCACTGCAAATAAAATATAACATAACAAAATCGATAGCATAGTAGATATGCGTGTTTAAAAATACCTGAAAAGGGCGTTTGAACATCTTAAAGAAACACACACTGCAACACAACATCATAGCACTTGGTAGTCTAAAACGTACAATCTTTAGTGTTTTTAAAAGCCAACAAAAGTGCCATTTATTTTAGTCGTTATGTTCGCCAAAACGGCCAGTCAAGCTTACAAGTGAAGTTTGGTAAAAAAAAAAAAAGGCACTGGAGAGTGTTATTGATGGAAGTGTAGTAGATTGGATTGAAAGGAAAGGGTAGTATTATAAGACAAAAACTGATTCACGCAGTGAGGTTGTGGGAGTTGAAAAGAGAAAACGTCTGAAATTGGTACAAGGCAGAAAAAAAATTAAATATGAGCAGAATTAGTGAGAATGAAAAAAGGGAGGGAGCAAGGGAGGAAATGAGACATGTAGGGGTTTAGAGACAGAAGAACCTATGACATTGTGAGCAGGAAATTGAATAAATTGAGACAGAACAGGGAGGCATATTCAGTCATAAAAGGAGGCAGCCCAAAATGATGAAAGAGGCAGGCTGACAGCATGAAAAGGATAGGGCTAGGCATCACTTATAGAAACAAAATGAATGAACGGGAGAGAATTTGTACATTTTAATAGGAAGAGACAGCAGACAAGATGAGGGTAAAGTGACAAAGGTTATTAACCCCTTGAGGCAAGAGTTAGGAATATCCTATTTTTATTACACGTGGTGACGTCATCTTTCATGAAGGGGTAAAATGAGTAGAAATGAGAGAGTGTCAGAAAGACCAGGTTTATTTCATAAAAAGTAATATAATATCTTAATTTTTTTTTTCTAATTTTACTTTTTGGCCTCAGTATTGGCAAATCACTAGCTATTTTTCCAAGAATTACTAGTTTATTGAATAACCCTGCAAATTAGTTATGGTGGTGCAATTTAGGTCTAAACGTCAACAATGCAGTTTTGTCTGTATAATAAATAAATTCTACTACTACTAAACAATAGAGATAGATAGGTGATGATCCACTGAAAATAGAAATGCATCTTTGGAAAGGAGTGAGCCATGTGTTAGACAAGTTTTACAGTCCAGCTGTTTTGAAATACTTTCTCAATGAGGCTCAGCCACTAGACCAGATGGATAAGCATAATAGGAAGTGCAGTCCACATCAGATATAGCCAAAGGTTATCCATCTCTGGCTTAGAGGGATACAAAATGCAATGGTAGAAGGATACTCCTATAAAAAGACAGCTGTAACATGGTAATGGGAGTGTGAGTTAGAAGAGACAGCTGCAAGGAACAATATCTGTGCCAGGAAGAGAGGGGCAGAGACAGCCCAGAAGGGGGAGCTGTCTTTTTAAGAGGCGGAGAGAAGGAGGATCTGGGAGAGACGGACAGAGACAAAGGAGAGAGAGACGGGCAGGAAGGGAAAGAGACAGTACCTTGTTGGAGAGAGTTTTCCACGTGGGAAGAGAGTCAGCACGACAAGTCAAGTTATGAAAGAGACAGTGGTCTGAACAAGAGTGCTCCATGACAAAAGGACAACTGAAGAGACGGCAAGAAAGGGACTGCTTAAACAGCCTAATTACTACTAATAATTAGACAGTCGTGTAGAAGAAGAGACAGTCGCCCCTCTCCGCGTTATGGACTGGTCAGGGAGTCACACTAAATAGAAAACTGTCTCTTTTCCAGCCCCACGTGGCTGTTTTTTGTTTTACTTCTTTTCTGTCTCTGTCTCCATCCCATTGTAGTGTTTGTGACTGGCAGTTTCTTGGCAATTCAGGTCATCTCCCCCCTTTCACTTCATCCCTGTCCCTGGCTGTCTCTTGACCTTTTAAGAGACACTCTCTGACTGACTGTCTCTTGCTTGAAAATTAGCAGTCTCTTTGTAGACTTCCCTTGTTGCCTCATGGCAGCTCTCAGTAGCCCAGGCTCCAGCCCCCACACCACCTCCCCCAAGGTGTACTTTCAGTCTCCCAGCGAGAGTGCTGAGGAGCCAGAGAGACGGCATCAGGGCAAAGTGACTGTCAAGTATGACCGCAAAGAGCTCAGGAAGAGACTGCGCCTGGAGGAGTGGATCCTGGACCAGCTGGTGGCCTTGTATGACTGCCAGGTGAGAGCAATTACTGACCATCTCTGCCTGGCTAGGGCAATCTGCTGCTCTCTGACTGTCCTTGGGCTGACCTGAGAGTAGTGAGAGTTGTAGTCCAAGGACAAGTTTCTATTCCATTGCTAACTAGGCTGGCTCAGTTTCATGGGAATATGATCCAAGACAGCTGGGGGTATTAAAGGTTAACTAGCAATCTATCCCTTTTTTCAGTGTTCCATTCCCAGTTCTGTGATCAGAACAAAGAATAAATTAGCCAGAGGCAATTAGTAGTTTCCATTTAATAGCATTATGAACAATGCCACATTATCCCTTTTAACAATGAATGGAATTAGCAGGATCCCTGCCAGAACGCTGTGTTAGATACACACATGGGATCATTCCTGCTGTTCTACCCCTGCTTGGGGCAACTAGACAGCGACTTTTCATGCTAGGGCACTGCCATGTGGCAGATAGGCTGCCTTCCTGCCTCCACCCCTCCACTGCTGGGCTGATGGCAGGAGGGATGGGCAGGGTCACAATGTGCTGATGCCATCCTGAGTCACGGGAACAGCTGAGGACACCTGTCATCACCATGTGTTAGAACAACTTCACAGGGGGGATGGGTGGGACAGATCTATATAATTATTTTAATACTTTTTATGCATTTGTTGTTTTGGTTGTGTGCCCATATCTGGATATATGTTTGTGCATTTCATTTTTAGTATGTCATACTACAACAAACAAAAGGAATAGATTTAGGTTAAGACACACTATATGTGTACAAATTTATAATCAACGTATCAAAGGAAAAAATTGTTTTTGTCATCCCTGGTTTAGATTTTCTTTCGGATCTAATGATTTATTTCAGAAAGTGTTTTCCAAAAAAAACGTGTGTGTGTGTGTGTGTGTGCACGCGCAATGTTTTTGTGGAAATTACACAATCCTTCAAAATTATGTTAAATGTTTTGAGATTTTTGTGTTTTCCTTTCAGTTCAATTTAACCTTGTATTTATGTATTGGGAAAAGTTTCGGACCCCCCAGGACAGAAAATAAATATCGAAGGCAATCTGTTTACAGTCAAATAACAAATAGTTTTTGACATTTATTCAGTGACGGGTTAGAGCAATCCAACACATTTTATGCAATCCCATGGACAGCACAGAATAAAGTGTGTTGAAATATAAAAAACACATCTGTTGAAATCACTATGCATGCCTCTGCTACTAAATTTGTTTAAACTGTGGGGTATTTTCCCTAGTCACGGAGTTGTGGAGATCTCACAAGGAAATGGCTCATTTTAGGCCGGAATTGTCAAAGTTGGAAACATTTTTTCAAAATGTATTAGTTTTCACGCCCCGCTATTTCTGTCTGAAATTTGCAATCCTTTGTCAATTCTTTACAGGTTCTGGTTTAGTGAATAAACCACTTTGTGTTTATACATCGCATGCATTGATTGTGGTCACTTATTCTGTTTCACATCCGTCTTCTCATGTAGTAGGTCAAATATCCCACTCTCACATCCTCTTTTCGAGAAGGACATCCCTCAAACTTCCTTTAAAACACATTGATCTGACTTTTCCACATTGGGCATATTTGGTTACTGTGTGAAGTGTGGCTCAAGGTACCAAGAATTCACACTTGACTCCTTGGAAGTGAAACTGTCCCTCTCCCTCTCTCGCTGATAAATAAAACATGGTGTATAAAAAAAGCCCACAGATAACCTCAGACTTGGCCTTAACCTGGAGACTACAGTGGTTATGTATTACGAATTTACCTTCCCTTGTTTTGTTTCTTTTTTACTTGTGGTATAGATAATCGTGTGTTTGTTAATATGTGCATAAATGGTATTTGTTTTACAGCACAGATAATGCCTTATACTGGGCGGCAGAGAATTGTTGTTTAACCCTTTTAAATACTGGAAAAGTTTAGCAATTTTCCTTCATTGTAGGTCAGACCAGTTCTTTGCGTTTTTTTTTGTTTGTTTGTTGTTTTTTTTTTTGAAATTTGTATTTTATTGGTTTTCACATCAAAAAAAACGAGGGGTGGGTGGGGTTGGGTACAGAAAAAGAGAAGGGAGGTGGGAAAAGGGGGGGGGTACAGTCACTTTACATCGAATCCTATGTCGGTTAGGAATATATAAAAATTGACAATTGACAATTGACAGTTGACATTTGCAGGCATTTGAGGCGGCTCAACAGCACACAGTAATCGGTTGATCTCCTTATGTACAGTACAAATGATCCGACTATCTAGGCTTACTACCCATTCCTAGGTCCCAGTCTGCTTTATACTACTCTCAGACGTAATAGTGTTCCCCCCAGTCTTGAGGCGATTGCCACCCCCCGTCTACCTGCGTTTAGCTTTTGTGGTTAGCTGAGTTGTTATTTTAAGTTGTGATTGGTGGGTACGTGTTGTGCATTAGCGTTTCTCCAAGCTCGCCACTGTTCCCATGTGCTACCACTGCATTTGGTGCTATTCTGCACTTTGGAAAAGCTTGTTTCGTAAATAGCCTGCTTGTCTATGTCTTGGATGAGGGCAGGAATGCTAGGGGTGTCTGTTGTTTTCCAAAGTCGTGCGATCAGTTTTTGTGCGGTTAGCAGGACGTGGTACATTAATTTTCTCGCTTGTGTGGGTGTTTCTCTGGGTATATCTAACAGTAAAAAGGTCTTAGGGTCAAAGGGTAGGTGGATGGTGGTAGTATCTGCAATGATTTTTCTTGTGTCTTCCCAATACCTGATTAGGCGTGGACATTTCCACCAAATGTGGAGGACCGAGCCTTTCTCTTGTTTGCATCTCCAACACGTCGGAGACGCAGTGGGATACAGTTTGTGTATTCGTAGCGGCACCATATACCACCGATATATTGTTTTCTGGTGTTGTTCTATAAGGGGAGCAGATTTGATCAATTTTCTATTGGAAGATGTGATGGACGCCCACTGTTTCTCAGTGATGGGAGTTTGGAGGTCCATTTCCCATTGGTGTGCTGGAGTGGAGTCAGAAAGGGATTGGTATGGCAGAATAAGTCTGTGTAGCAGCCAGATAAGGGTTTGAAGGTCTGGGGTAGTTTGCCTGTGATGCCTGTTTGTTCCCAGGTCGATAGCGCACTGGCAATTGTAGTCTCATTTCCACTATCTTTATTACGTGTATGTAGAAAGGATTTAAGTTGGATGTATGAATAGCTTGATGTGTGTGGCAGGTGAAAGATCGTGTTAAGTCGGTCAAAACCCATCAGCTTGCCTGATTCAAAGACCTGAGCTAGGTGTGAGATTCCCTTGTCCTTCCACGGCATTGCGTGAAATGTTGGGATGCCGTATGTTATGGCTTCTATGGGGGTTGCCATGGAGAGGGGGTTGGCTGTCTCAAACTTCCTCCTATGCGTGTCCCAAATCTGTAACGCTAGTTGTACTTGTAATGGTAGTAACGGTGTAGTTGGTCTGTTTGATTTGTGCAACCATGTCAGGATGTGGATTGCAAAGGGCTTAACAGCTAGGTTCTCTAGGTGTACCCATTGTGGTTGGTTGTTCCTCACCAAATGTGTTAATAGAGGGGTTAAGGCTGCCGCCTGATAGTAGGCTTTTACATTTGGAAACGCCATGCCCCCGTGTTTCACTGGTGCGGATAGTAGTTTGCAAGAGATTCTCGCCCGTTTTGCTCCCCAGGTAAACTGCAGTAGCTTCGAATGTATGGTTTTAAAGTAAGATTGTGGTACCTTTAACGGGAGGTTCCGAAACACATATTGTAGTTTCGGTAGTACCGACATTTTAATAGCCACAATACGTTCCGTCCAAGTAAGGAACAATTTTTCCCAGCCCCTTATCAAGGTCAGGCACTCATTCCATACTTTGGTGTAGTTAGTTGGGAACATGTCAGAAGCTTTTTTGGTGAACGTCAGACCTAGGTATTTAATATCGTTCGTGCGCCATTCGAATTGGTAGGTTTTACGTAGCTGTGTGAGGGCTGGGGGATCTAGGCGTAACCCTAATGCTTGTGTTTTGGAGGTGTTTAAGGAGTAGTATGAGAGACCACCATATTCCTCGATAAGGTGCATTATGTGTGGTAGGGAGGTAACAGGATGGGAAACATATAAAAGGATATCATCCGCAAATGCACTAATCTTGATTTGGCGGCCGTGCCAATTTACGCCTTCAATGTCTGGATGGGATCTAATAGCTATTAGTAAGGGCTCCAGGGCCAGTACATACAACAGGGGGGACAGAGGGCATCCCTGTCGGGTGCCGTTTGTAATGCGAAAGGGGTCTGATTTGAAGCCTGCTTGTAGTACCTGAGCCCTTGGGTGTGAATATAGGGCGAATACTTGTTGAATGAACTGTTGTGGGAATCCAAATATCGATAAGACTTGTTTCAAGAAGCACCAACCTAGGCGGTCAAACGCTTTTTCAGCGTCCAGAGCTAACAGTAGCCCACCTTGGCCTGATCTTCTCAATTCTTCCATAATTAGGGACAGTTTTCGTGTATTGTCTAACCCCTGTCTCCCCATCACGAACCCTGTTTGGTCATCGTCTATGATTGAGGGCAAGATTTTACCCAGTCTGGAGGCCAGGATTTTTGCGTATATCTTAGCGTCTGTATTTAATAAGGAGATAGGTCTAAAATTTTTACATTGGTCCGGGGGTTTCCCAGGTTTTGGCAGGGTAACTATAGTTGCTAGTAGCATCTCAGGAGGAAGTTCTCCCGAGTCAGAAGCTGCTTGGAATATTTGGACAAGTTTAGGGCCTAATATGTCTGCAAAAGTTTTATAATACAGGTTTGGTAGGCCATCTGCTCCTGGGGTTTTTCCTGGGGGGAGGTTCCTTATTGTTTGGAGTACTTCTGATAGAGTAATAGGTTGGAGTAATTGTTCTATTTGGTGGTGGTTTATTGTGGGGAGGGGTAGACGGGTTAGAAACTCCGTGATGTTACTGTCCTGGATGGGGGGGGTATCTGGTCTTTCGCCCAAATTATAGAGGCTGGAGTAATAGTTGGCGAACTCCTGAGTGATATCCATTGGATTTTGTATTTTGTTACCTTCTGGGTCTTGAATATGCGCTATTTTGGTGGCTGCCAGCTTTGCTCTCAGCCTGTTAGCTAGGAGTTTGGTGGCTTTCCCGCTGTGGTGGTAGTGGGTCGCTTTGAGCTTGTGTAACATGTATGAGGTTTTGACCGCTTGTAATTCGGTGATTTTATCTAGCAGAGTTTGGATTTGTAGTGCTAGGGCTCGAGAAGGGGCACCTTTATTTTGGGTAGTTAATTGTGTTAATTGTCGTTGGTATTCCATTAAGGTCGCTTGTCTATGCTTTTTAAGATATGAGGATTGTCTAATAAATAAACCGCGAACAACGGCCTTATGGGCCGACCAGGTGGTCGAGGCTGATGTTTCCCCACCTGAGTTTGTCTGAAAGTAATTGTTAAGGTCATTCTTTATTTGTTCCACGAAGTTACTGTCTTGTAGTAGGGACTCGTTTAGTCTCCAGTTCCCTCTACCTTTGAACTGATATTTATCATATAGATCCAGGGACACCGGGCCGTGGTCAGACCACGTAATGTCTCCCATTGTACATTTGGCTACTTGTGGTAATGTAGATTGGTCTACGTAGTAGGTATCTATGCGGGTGTAGGTGTTATGTACTTTGGAGTGGAAGGAGTAATCCCGTTCTCTTGGGTGGAGTATTCTCCAGCTATCATACAGGTTATGTAATGTGAGCAGTCTAGACAGTTTTTTGCCTGTGGATACTATATTTGCTCGTCTGGTGCCTCTTGGGAGTGCTGTGGAGTCTAAATCCGGGGATATTATAAAGTTAAAATCCCCGCACATCAACAATCCCCCCTGTCTCACCTTATCTATCTCTTTGAGGATGAGTCTGAGGAATTGTTCTGAGCCAGTGTTGGGGAAATATACAGAAGCCAATGTATATTGGACATTATTGAAGAGACCCACTAGTATTACATATCTTCCCTGGGGGTCTATAGAGACTACTTTTTCTTGAAATGCTATGGATTTGTGTATGAGAATAGAGACTCCCTTCGTCTTTTTATCAGAAGTAGCGTGGTATTGTGTTGGGTAAATTTTTGTGTAGAGTGCAGGGGTACGGGTGTTGGTGAAGTGTGTTTCCTGGATACACACGATGTCTATGTCCTCGTTTTTCAGATCTTGCAGTAGTAGCCTGCGTTTACCCGGGGAGTTCAATCCTTTGACATTATACGTTATTAGTTTAACCATGGTTGTATATATAGGGAGGGGCTGCTATGGAGCGTGAGCTTGGTTACTACTGGTGCTGCTGGTTCATTGCAGTATGTCAGTTTGGTAAGCCTGCGGCGGTTCTGCTGTGCCAGGCTTTGTGTTCGTGACTGGGGGAGAGAATGGGTAGGGTGGAAGTGGGTGGGGTGAAACTGGAAAAACTGGTGGGTGACACACCCAATTTGGCTCTGAGGAGTGGAGCCTCGAGACTCGCCTAATAGATAGGCCTGTCTAGTGGGGGTAGTGGTGGTAAGGTCTTTACACATGGTAAGCCTCCACCTGAAACCAAAAGAGCATTGGAACATCAAATTGCAAAACTAACATGTCATGAACAACATTAAACTGATCTTAATAATTTTCTAAACACAGCCTCGCTATAAGGTGACAATGTTTTAAAATGTGCCTTCACAGTGGGTTAGTCTCAATAAACTTCTAAACATAGCCTCGCTATAGGATGGCATCATGGCTAGTATGTGCCGTTATCTTGCCTGCGCCCCCGTGGGGGGATAGTAGAAAAGCTTATTGGGCAGCGCCGCATTCTAACCAGCAATTACTGCTGCTTGTTGCAGGTCAGGTAGTATGAAGTATAACAATAATTAACAAATACATTTTGGCTAAGTAAGCATTAAGCTATAGCCCTGTAACTTGAAAGTTCTAGCATTTTAACTTGCACAGTGGTTATGGAATAGTTACGCGTGTTCCAGAGGAAGGGCAGTCTTTCGTTTGACAGTCCATTCCAGTGACATCTTGGGTACTTTTGTTTTAGTTGGTTCTGTTGCCGGTTGGGGAAGCCCCCAATCTCTTAGTTTCTGGACGCCTTGCTTCAGGGTCGTGATGGCGTGTATGGCCCCTTGGTGGGAGATCAGAAGTTTGGCAGGGAATCCCCATCTGTAATTCAGGTCATGCTCCCGCAGGGTGGAGGTGATCGGCGCCATTGATTTCCGGAATTGGAGAGTGTCCGCTGATAAATCCGCGAAGATTTTGATGGAGTTGTATTCGTTCGGCATACCTGGGTTTCTGCTAGCCCGCATGATCTTATCTTTAGCGTGGAAGAAGTGTATTCTAGCGATTACATCTCTTTCTGCAGTTTGCGGCAGATGTTTCGGTCTGCGCAGCCTGTGCACCCTGTCGATTAATAGTTGATCCGGGTGTATTTCTGGTACTAGGCTCTGGAGCAGTTTTGAGAGATAATGTTGGAGCTCGGCGTTTGTAATTGTTTCTGGGATTCCTCTGAACCGCAGATTGTTCCGCCTCGCCCTATCCTCCATGTCAGCTAGCTTTAGCCTGTGTACTTCCAGAATGCCGTCCAATTCCTGGACTTTGTCTGCTAAGCTGTTATGTGCTTCTGCATGTTCGTCCATTTTGGACTCCACTTGTGCTGTGCGGTTTCCTATTTCATGTATGTCTCTCTGTAAATCAGCAGTTAGAGCCTGAATTTGCAGCTGTATGCTTTTCTGTATATTGTCTGAAAATTCAGACATTAGGGCACGGATACCTCTCATCGTAGGTGGCTGGTCTTCTGCCTGCCGTGTGGGGGATGATTTGGGTGAGGGGGAGTTTTCCCGCGGTCCGAAGTCGCCGCCATCTTGCGCAGTCTCCTCTCCCTCGCGCTGCTTGGATGCCGCGAGTTTCGTGCCGAAAAAGGAGGCACGCTCTGCCTTCCCAGCTTTGTTTTTTGGGCGCTGGGACATGTTGTGTGCCTTCCCCAGGTGACCCGGGTATGTGCCGCTTATTATTCCGGTTGTTGTGTGCTCGTTTTGGAATCTGCGCCGGGAGCTGCTCCTACATGCGACCGTTCAGCTCCGGCGTCAGGCCACGCCCCCCGCCACTTGTGATTTTAAAAGCAAAATGGAACAGCTTAGGCTAAAATATTTCCATTTCAGTCTAAACTGTGCAATCATTCCTTGGGCTCCTCTTAACACCTCTTATAAAGAATAACTCTCCCATGGAACTCCTGGTAAACGTGCCTTACTATCGGCCAATCCTGTTTGTTTGTTTTTTAAGTTACACTTTCACTAATGAGCTTTATTTATTGGCCAACTAAAATTGTATGTATGAGTTGAGCTATTTATTTCAAATTTCTCTGTTTAATTTTACAAGACAAGCCTAACTTTCAGTTCCATTAAGTCTTTTGAGCTACGCCCTATCTCGGAGAGCCGGCGCCTTGACTTGAGCATCAGCTGATGTCTCTAAGCCAGTGAGCGCTTCACATGGCAGGTGGTATGGAACGGCCCCTGAGAAACCCCAAGTAAGAAGCCAGACCATTCCTAAATGGTTTGACTACTTACATTAACGTGGGTTCCAAGATAACTACTGCATTATTCACTCCAGTAAACGCTTCAAACAATGTTTTTTGCTCAGCTGCAAGTCAGAAATCCGGTATCTCTCAGGAAGCTTCAGATATTGGTTCGCACATCGTTCTAGTGAGCCATAATATGCAATATGTGTATTGGAGAGCAGCTATAAGGAGTTACCGGAATACACTGGTTATCTGCCTGCACGATCGCTTATCAACCAGTCAGATTGTGGAGAAGAGGGCTGTCACAGGACTATTGTGCTGCATTCGTGGATTCTTTACCCCTAGCGTCAGGGCAAGTCACGCCCAGGCAAATCTTGAAAGTGACCTCAACGTGAGAGTTATGTGGTTGGCCTTAAGTTATAATTTGCAAACCATGTAACTCTCATGTTCTTTACCAACTCCATCTAAAATAAATTACACCCTTTATGGCTCGAATTCCACATCATCTCTGCCAAGAGTCTTATATAAAAATTGTTTTATTTATTTTTTAAAACTCTGTTGCAAAACTGTTTCATAATACATATGTACCATCACCACCACCACTTTTAAAAACTCTTTTGTGTATATTCCCAAATGATTATTTCCTAGTTTAGTAGATCATCTTCAACTTGAAGGCCAGATTTAGAAAAACGTATCCATGCCCATTGTATTGATAGATATGTGGAATACAGTGGCGTCTGATATACACACAAAACGGTGATCGTACGGAAGGGGTTTTAACCATCAAAACCATTATGTGCAACATTTTAAAATCTGCCATTGGTTTCCATTACAATGTATTACTTGTCTAGAATATAGCCACACGTAATGCTTATTCTGTTTAATTGATTATGTCAAAATAGTGGCTTAATCTGATGGGTTTCTGATCTCTAGTGTAGTAGTAATTACCTTCAGAACTGTTATGTGAGTTTGTATCGAGGTTTGTTTTGCGTTGATTAGTGTACGTACACGCCATTGTATGCTGACACTGCATACTTATTACTTTTTTTTTCTCATCTGCATATTCCGCTTTGCATTTTGTTTTGTACATTCAGGCTTGGGTAGTGTGTGTATGTATGTGAATCGATCTATATATGTTGTTTTTTTTTTCTTTTTGTATGACTGTATACTAGTTTAATAATGTTATGGAAAATATGTGAACTAATGTGTCACGTGTCACATGACACAAGTGCCTCTAAAATGCTTGACACTCTTATGACCTTGTGGTTACTTGACAAGCCAAGGCATTTGGTAGTGTTGTACATACATCAGTGTTAATTGGCTAATAGCCTAGCAGATCAGTTAAATACGTATACTGCCTGGAGAACAGAGCTGGGCAAATATGATCTAATATGTCACAGGATACACGCCTCATTCGTTATTTTAACTTATTATGACAAATGGCACTTCTTAAAAAAAAAAAAAAAAATTTGTTTTTCATCCATGTCTGTCGAATTAGGCATGGTCCTTCTTGAGGACTTCCTGTCAGCTGACTTTATTTTTTATGGTAGAAACGGTATTTAGAAGTTGTAAAGGAGATTTTTCAGTTCAAACTTGGAGTCCTGGTTCAAGTAACTACACAGTGTATCTCGTAAAAATACAACAGGGATGGTGCATTGGTAGCCATAAACCTCTCAGGATCTAGTTTTTTTGGAAAGGCCACTTCTATACACTAGAAACAGACGTCAGGTGTACTTTTTAATGTATACATGTAAAGGGGGTTCATGTGATCACTGTATGTAACTAGTATATCTGTTTGTACAGGAAGAGGAAATTCCTGAACTGGAAATAGATGTGGATGAATTACTAGACATGGAGACTGATCAGGAGAGAGGTGAGCGGGTTAAGGTGAGTACAAGTCCAGGACCTATCCTGAGAAGGAGGGTGATGGACTATTGTTTTGGAGAAGTTGGGTGTAGTCTAAACATTTGTTGTTGGCTTATTTCTTTTAATTTTTTTTTTCCAGGAACTGCTGACTGACTGTTACAAACCAACAGAGGTGAGTGTCTGTCTTGACTTCTTGCAGAGCGCTACATACACGGATTATACAATCTGTGTTCCTCCAGGATTTGGGGATGGCTCTGGTGTCTGACTATAGATGGTCAATGGGGATATGCAGAACATGTATTTAAATACTTTGCTGGAATTGCCCTACCGTAATGCTTTATACAGACCATAAAGCAAAATTTGCACATAAAAAAAAATTAAGTGATCGAAAACAAGTTAAAGGTTCCTGTTGCTTCTGCTATCTATAGAAACAGACAAAACACCTAAACTGCCATGCAGGGGCGTTGTGTTAAGCTTTGCAGGTATTGGAGCATCCTGATTGTCTGTCTGTATCACTTCCGGTGAGCTCATTGCAGAGGATGCAAAGCTGGGGAATCTACAGCAAGTGCACAGACTCTTACTGTATGAATGTGTGTAATATACACGCCTCTGTATATAGAGTTTAGATACTTTATGGTTTGGATGATTAATAATGCACCATTGTAACAAGTGAGCCAGTGGACTGTGTGGTAGGATGTGGTGAAATGCTGCAGTTGTATCAATGATAGATTGTGGTGTGCTGATCAGCACGCAGGTCTGTAAGGATGGTTCTAATGGTATGTAGTCTGTATGTAGTACATGAGGCTGTGGTACGATGCGGTGTAATAACACGGCACTATATATAGAATCTGCACAGGGTACTTTGGGTAGATTAGGTATGATTTAGGATAACGGAGCTGTGTACTGGATCCGTATATGTGACTGACTATGGAGGGCTAGCATGTGATATAACACTGCTGTAAACCTTTTGTGTAGTAGGATGGAGATTAATGACTGGGCAATATATATATTTGGCACAGGGCACTGTGGTAGAATGGCGTATAATGACATGGCTGTGTATAGAATTGGTACAGGACACTGGCAGGATGCGGTATGACTGGTCAATATATATGTAGAATTGGTATAGTACACTTGCAAGATGCGGTATAATGACTGGGCAATCTATAGATTTTGTACAGGACACTGGTATAATGACTGGACTATATATAGAATTGGTACATGGGTAATGTGGTAGGGTGGGGTATAATGACAGCAAAATATAGAATTGGTACAGGACACTGGCAGGATGGGGTATGACAGGGAAGTATATAGAATTGATGATGGTCTCTCTGGTAGGATGGGGTGTAGTGACAGGACAGTAAAAATAATTGGTGCAGGACACACTGGCAGGATGGGATGTAACATATTGGCTGTATATAGAATTAAATAAAAAATATATATTTCTGCCTTTTTAAATAGATCCAGCAGTCATTGAATGTTGTATTCTATATCTGCTCACTTGTTATACATAAACATTAAATGGACACTATAGTCACCAGAACAGCTACAGCTTATTGCTTTTGTTCTGGTGAGTAGAATCATTACCTTCAGGCTTTTTGCTGTAAACACAGTTTTTTTTGTTTTTGGTTTTTTTTTTCAGAGAAAATGCAGTGTTTACATTACAGCCTAGTGATAACTTTACTGGCCATTCCTCTGACTGCTAGAGGTGCTTCCTGGGGCAGTCCTGATTAGTGTGCATCACAACATTGAGTGTCTCCACCCTCTGCATGCAGACACTGAACTTTCCTCATAGAGATGCATTGCTTCAATTAATCTCTCTATGAAGAGATGCTGACTGGCCAGGGCTGTGTTTGACTTGTGCTGGCTCTGTCCCTGATCTGCCTCCTTGACAGTCTCAGCCAATTCTATGAGGAAGCATTGTGATTGGCTCAGATGACCACTTCTGATGATGTCAGAGGCAGACAGGGGCTGAGCCAGCAACTGCAGACTTGAATACAGTAAGATGTTGCTATATTAAGGGAGGCAGGGAGGGGCCAGGGGGCTAGATGGTGGTTTTAACACTATAGGGTCAGGAATACATGTTTGTGTTCCTTTAAAGGGTTACTCCAAGCATCATAACCAGTACAGTGGTTCTGAATCAAGGAGTACTTTAACCTTTTTTCCTGGTAATGGGTCAAACCATTTTGCAGTGCCTGGCACACACTGTTCTCCTGTTGTCAGGGTTGACATCCAGGTTCTGCAAGGCAGCTGTCTCCGCTTGCATCAGCAGATTACATAGGGTAGATGTAGTATGCTCTGCTCAGAGGTGCATTAATCTGGGTTCCTGAGGTACAAAGCACCCGGCTCCTTAGTATCCCATGGCTGCCACCAAGGCCACAATTTTACCAGAATCTGTAGAATTTGGGTCTGTGTGTCTCTGTATCTGTAATTTTGGGTCTGTATGCTTCAATATCTGTAATTTTGATCTAAATATGGCCTGTGTCAATCTCTTTATAGCTATATATGTGTGTCTGTTTGAATCTGAGTGTTTTTCAGTACGTTTGGTGTGTGGGTGTGTGTGTGTGTGTGTGTGTTTATTAAATTGTTTTAGGGTGGACTCCTTTTTATTTTTTTGGTCCAGTTAACATCACAAATTTGATTGGTACTGTGACAGAGCCCAGTATTCACACAGGAGAAAGTTGCTCTTCAGTGATTATAACCCTCCCCAAACACTAGACGACACATAGTGCTTGATACAAGAACAACATTTAAATAATTACCTAAAAATGTGCAGTCCTCTTATATGCCACACTATTATGCCTTGTGAAATGCCAGTATTTGCTGTCGTGGCAAACTAAGCATATATGTCAATTTTTTTTATTTTTTTTTTGCACAACAAAAATTAAGAATTCCATAAAAAAATTTAATAATAGAACATTAAAAATAAAAAAAACTCGGGATGTAGTAATAAAAATATATCTTTTTTTTTTTTATATATATAAATGTATATATTATAACTTTTATAATAAAAAGTAAAAATGCTCCTACAAATGTAAGCCCTACCTCACCCTTTCACACACAGCGTATCCCCTGCACACAAACAAGGCATCCCCTCTACAATTATAATAATATTAATACTCGACGATACAGTATTACCTAGACACACATATTGCACCACAAACACAGCACAGACTTACTTGCACATCCACACTACACCATAAACAGCTCCCCTCTACACACAATCCCACATGTCGCTTCCAAACGCATTCACAATACCCTTACATGCCCCGTCCCTGTTTTGTCATCTGGTATCCCACTTATGGAGTCACAAGAGAAAAGTCACCAGCAATCATCAGGTTAATTACAGGGGAATGCTATGATCGTGACATACAACATGCGTGTTTTATAGCTGTATAGCTCTGTGTTACACTGCTATGCACATTACTGTGAGTTTTTATTTTTTGCTGTGGAGCTCTATAATACACTCATACACCCCACAAATTACTGTGTGGTTTATTTTTTTTTTTTTATTATTTTTTTTTTTACTGCTTTAACTTGTTTAATAAAATTGTATTTTTAGCAAGCTCTCTAATCTCTTTGTTGGTTAGGTGAGATTGGGAAGGTTTTAAATAGTGTGCGCTTTTGAATGAAGGAGTGTGGCCCATGAGGGGCGCTGTAAAGAATTTTCGCACAGGAAGCTCAAATGCCTAAGCCTGAAATAGATCTTGACAGCTCTCAGCAAATTAATTAAATTATGTGCATTGGAATGGGCACAGAATTGACCTAAACCAGTACTGTAATGGCTAATGACGGGCTGTTGGTGGAGTCGCACCTCCAGCAGAAAATGGGGTGGGACTCTGTATGTGTGGTGTTTTCATAGTGAAACGCTTCACATACAGGCTACAGACAGGGCGGGTGCAAGGATTTTTGCCGCCAAAAGAAAAATTTGCTGCCCTCCCCCCGCCGCACCCCCCTATGCTCTGCCCACCCAGTGACATTGCAATGCCCCACCAATATGATCTGCCATATGAACAAACGCCAGTGCTGCACTCAGTGTGTGTTTACATTAAAAAGCCTACAGAGACAGGCTATAGACATCAGAACCACTTCATTAAGCTGCAGTGGTTCTGGGACTATAGTGTCCCTTTAATGTGAGGTAAATTAGAGATTAGTGTCATTAATAATATACTAGATTGCCTACTTACAACTAGATGAGGATGGTGATGGGCTCTGGCTGCAGTCTGGCTCCACTGGTCTGGTGTAGAACAGATGAAGAGCTTTCTGTACTCCTCTCTGGCGGCTGTTTGTATCTGTGGTCACAAAAATCAATGTTCTGAGAGAACAGGAAGCAGCTCCATTTTTTAATTTTTTTTGGGGGCCCCTTACACAGCTCAGGGTCTGGGCCCCGACGGCCTGACGGTGAGTATGCCCATAAGACCCACCCATAAGTCCACCTACATACTTTCTACCCATGAGTTCGCTCACAGTGAGTGGAGTGTGTAGGGGATGTGTTATGTGTTAGTGTAGAGGATCTAATATGTGTGCTTATGGAATGCAGTGTATAGGGATACCAGTTTGTGTAGGTGATGCAGTGTGTGTGTGTGTGTGTGTAATGGAAGCAGTGTGTTTTTGTGTAAGGGATAAAAAGCAGTGTGTGTTTGTATGTAAGGGATGTATTGTGTGTGTGTGTGTCTTTGTGTGTAATGGATGCATTGTGTGTTTCTCTGTGTATAAGGGAAGCATGGTGTGTTTCTGTGTGTGTAGGGATGCATTGTGTGTGTATGTATTGTGAAAGAGCGAGAGTTTGTGGGGTACGATAGGGGCTGAGAGGAGAGCAGCTCTTTATTTTTATTATATTTATTTTGTTAATATAATTTTCTTATGTTTTGCATCTTACATTCCTCTCTTCTTCCCCTAGTGCTCTCTCCCCCCTCCCCTAGTGGTCTCTCCTCTTCCCCCCCCCCACTCCACTCGTGGTCTCTCTTCCTTCCCAGGTGTGCCTCCTACCGCTAGTGTAGCATGGCCGAGCTGAGTGAGCACTTCCTGTCAGTCCGGCCTAGCTACACTGAGGGACTGACCAGAGGGAGCGCTGTGGGCTTCCCTCCTGCCAATCCCTCATATCTTGCACCCCCGGTCCAGTGCGCCCTGATGGATGTGCCGACCCAGGCAGTGCTGCACCCGCCTGAGGTCGTCTATAGGAAGCACCTGCCTAAGTTGCCTATAGGAAGCACAGGCCCTGGCTACAGGCACCATGACCAGTTCAAATCACTGAAGTGGTCATGGTGCTTGGAGAAACACTTTAAGGAAACATTGGTTTGAGCAACATCCCCATGGGAGAGGGTGGAAATGCTAAGGGAAAACACAGATAAAAAAATATTTAATATACATTTGATTATTTAGCAGTTGTGAGCATTAGCTAGAATGTGCATAACTGTTTTTTTGTTTTGTTTTTTTATTACTGTCACAGCGTTTGTTTCTATGTAAACAAACCATCGTCTCATGAATACTCCTTTCCTCTAATTTTACACTGTTTCCTGTTTGCTTCCTCTATGAAATTGAAGATTATATTAGCTTTTAGTGTACTAATAATCTTAATTTTAGTAATGACAGGAGGCGAATATTTGCATATCTTTCTTTACTGAAAACTCCAGCAGCATAGAAACAGTAACAACCAATCAGAAAAAAGATATGGTGCCCATAAAAGGCCCTGTCTATGACATCACTTCCTCTTTCTTTGAAGCGAAAATTAGGTAACAACAAAAACACAAACATATTAACAGTTCAACAATAGAGCAGGAAACATAACTCCGGTAATTCCATGGTGTAACGGTATGAGAAGGCGAGTTCTTGTCCCGAAGGGAAGACGTTCACGCTGAAATAAAAAGAAAAGGGTGAGAGGTCTCTGAAGTGGAAACCTGTCCGCATGCAACAAACATAAGTAACCTGACCATTCTAATGGATACAGACTGTGATAACTATCAACACTGTATGAAAACCGTAAGTTAAAACATTTAATAAGTAAAACAAAATTAATACAATGTACATGGTCACGAATCCAACAATTTCGTACTAGAGACAGCTACATGTCTAAGCAGTAATACAATCCTAACATGCATGCTATCCTGAACACTAGAACATACACTATATAACACGAGATAACTAGGGAGGGATCCCATAGGGTGGGAAATATTCGCCTCCTGTCATTACTAAAATTAAGATTATTAGTACACTAAAAGCTAATATAATCTTCAATTTTACCACATGACAGGAGGCTTCATATTTGCATTTTTAAAGCTTAGAATTGACTAGTGTGAAGGAGGCGTGAGAGGATTGACGAAAATAAAAAGTCCTAAACGTACTCTCCCGAGTCCAGTCAGCGCAACGCATAATGTCGGGTAGGGATGCGCCTGCCAAGAAGGCTTGGGATGCTGCCGCACCCCTGACCGAATGTGCTCCGAAGCTAGGTTCGATACCTGCTAGCCTCAGTAGCCAGCGTACCCATCTGGCCAGGGTTGTTGTAGACACCGGAGCGTGAGGTCTTACGTAGGAGATCAGCAACTGACCCGTCGGGGTGAGCCGAAGGTTGGCTGTGACTTCCGTATACCTCAGAAATGTCCTGACAACGCACAGCTTGGGGTCCGATTCGAAGTATGGATAAGACACTGAGGACGAGTCTGATTTAGTCCGTCTAGAAATGGAGAAGGTGACCCCCTCCGGAGTGAGAGAGAAACCGTCCACGTCAAAGGCCCTAACGTCTGACACCCGTCGAAATGAGACGAGGCATAACAAAAAGGCCAGTTTCGCTGAAAGCTGTTTCAGCGATAGAACGGGGTTGTCTGGCCAGCCCCGCAGGAAATCCAGCACCCCATTCACCTGCCAGAGGTTGGAGTATTTGGGTGCAGGGGGTCTAGTAAGTTTGGCACCTCGCAGTAGACGGCATACCAGAGGATCTTGACCCACTGGCCTGCCTTGTACTGGGACGTGTGCCGCTGAAATAGCCGATCTGATCACGTTAAGGGATCTATATGATCGACCCGTCGAGAACAGATGAGCGAGATAGTTGAGGATCAGTGGGACAGAGGCAGTAAAGGGATCGGAATCCCTTTCCATGCACCAAGCACTCCAGGCCGACCAGGCGGATATGTAACATCTCCTGGTGCCGGGGGCCCATGAGTCCCATAGGAGGTCTTTAGTAGGTTGCGATAGGCCATGGACCGACCAGGAGCCCCTGAAATCGTCCAGGCCACCAGTTCTAGTTGTCCTTCCAGGACGAGGGGATGGGGTTCCCCCCGAGGTCCCGACAGGAGCAACGGGTAGGTCGGGAGCCGAAGGGGATGGTCGTGCGACATCTCCAGGAGGTCCGGAAACCATGGTTGGCTCTGCCAAAGTGGTGTTATGAGCAGGAGCGATATCCTGTGAGTGCGGGAGTATCGCAGTACCCTTGGGATCAGTGAGAACGGAGGGAAAGCATAGGCCCCAAGGGGGGCCAGTCCTGCAGGAATGCATCCGCTGCTTCGCCCTTCGGATCCGGAAGCCAACTGTAGTACCTTGGTGGTTGGTCCTGGAGGCGAACAAGTCTATTGTTAGAGGGCCCAACCGCTGACGTAGCGTCTGAAATATCTCCCTGTTGAGTTTCCAGTCGCTGGTGTCTCTCCAGTGGCGTGAGAACCAATCCGCCGTCAGGTTGGAGATACCTGGGAGGTATTCTGCTTGCAGCGTGATGTTTCTCTGTAGGCAGAAACTGTAGATGTCTTTCGTGGCTTCCGTCAGGTCCTTTGACCTCGCTCCGCCCAGGCGGTTGATGTATTGTACCGCTAAGACATTGTCCATGCGGAGCAGGATACAGCAATTCGACCTGTCTTTGGCCAGGCTGCGGATGGCGAAGGATCCCGCGATCAGTTCCAAGCAGTTGATGTGTAGGCTGGTCTCCTCCTCCTGCCATGGGCCTCCCGTGGAGGCGTCCGTGCAATGAGCGCCCCATCCCCACAGGCTGGCGTCCGATTCCACTATGAAGTCCGGCAAAGGGCCGAAGATCGCTTTGCCGTTCCAGGCTTGTATATGTAGTAACCACCATCGTAGTTCCGACCTCACTTCTGACGAGAGTGGGATCCAGTGGTCGTAGGAGTGTCCGGTGCGCAGATATTCTGCTTTCAGCCGTTGCATGGCCCTGTAGTGTAGAGGGCCCGGGAATATCGCTTGTATGGAGGAGGAAAGGAGTCCCACGATTCGGGCGAGCATCCTGAGCGGTATTGTGTCCATCTTCAGGACCCGTCTGATTTCCTTCCTTATTGAAGCTATCTTTTTCGATGGAAGGCGTAGTACACATTCCTTCGAATCTATGTCGAACCCCAGGAATTGGACCGACTGGGAGGGAGAGAGAGACGACTTCTGTCTGTTCACTACGAAACCCAGGGATTCTAGCGAGTGAACAACAAATTTCGTCTGTGATCGCAGCCTGGATGCGGATTCGCAAAAGATTAGCAAATCGTCCAAGTAAACGAGGCAGCGTATGCCCCTCGTTCGGATGTGAGCCATCACTGGTCTCAGCAGCTTCGTGAAGCACCACGGAGCTGAGCTGAGGCCGAATGGCAGGCAGGTAAATTGGCATATCCGTCCTTTCCATCGGAAACGGAGGAATTGCCTGCATTGGACGTCCACTGGGACGGATAAATACGCATCTTTGAGGTCCAGGCGAGTAAACCAGTCGTTCTTGACGAGAAGGTCTTGTAGAAGGTGGATTCCTTCCATCTTGAAGTGTCTGTAGATTACGAATGAGTTTAACTGTCGGAGGTTGATAACCGGCCTGTATTCGCCCGTCTTCTTCTTGACCAAGAAAATGTTGCTTAGAAAGCCTCCCCCGTCCGGTGCGTATTGTATCGCTCCTTTCTCGAAGAGGGCGCGGACCTCTTCGTCTATTAGGTGGTTTTGTCCTGCTAACATGTGGATTGAGGGAGGGGGAGCGTTTTGAATGGGTCGGGTGGCGAAGTCTATGACGAAACCCCGAACCGTCTGGAGGACCCAGGCGTCTTTGGTAATCAGTTCCCAGTTCTGGAAGAAAAAGGAAAGGTTGCCTGCAATAAATTTTGATGCCTTTGTGTATATAGGTGGACTCACCATTGGAGGAGCGGCCGCTACCACGGCCTCTGAAGCCTCTGGATCTCCCCGTTCCTCTGAACGATGAAGGCCTTTGCGCCGTAGACGGGAAGAAATTTGGGGCTTGTGGGAAAGGTCTGGAACCTGAGGCCCAAAAACGGCTGGTGGCACGGTTCCGTTGTCGACCAGCCCTTCCAAAAACACCTCTTGTGGATGGGGTGTGGAACACCTGTTTGAGAGAGGTTTGAGCCTTGTTCAGGGTCGTGAATAGGTTCACGTGCCTTTTAAGTTCCGCGATGAAGGCATCGCCAAAAAGTAGGCCATGAGCTTTTGGTCCGAATTCTTTAGCCCCGAGGTCCAGGAGCTTGCTGTCAATACGTATTAGTGCCGATCTGCGCCTTTCGACACAAAGTGCGGCGTTAGCATTGCCCAGTAGACACACAGCGCGTTGAGCCCATTCACGGATGACATGGGGGTCCAGTTGAGAGTCTTGGCTGAGAGCGAGGTCCGCGAAGTATAGCATCTTGGCAATGGGGCCGAGCAAGTCCAGCACTTTGTCCTGTGCCGCTTTCATGCCCTTTTCCGCCCCTTTGCGTGGGTCCCTGCCCGCGCGTGACATGAAGACCACCATAGTGTCGTCGAATTCGGGCGTCAGCGCCACCTTGTCGGGAATTAGCGGCCTGGGACATTCAGTCCTGAGGCGCGCCCGTACCTCCTTCTCCAGCGGTTTGCGCAGCCAGTAATGTATGAACTTCGCCAGGTGATCTGGCAGTGTCCATTCCGAGGACCGTGGGTGTCGGGTGGTGCGCGGGTCGAACAGCGGTGTCCCTTGGTCGTCCAAGAAGACCCCGTCTTCAGACTGGCCGGTGTGAAGGTCGTCATCGAGTTCCTTGGCCCGGTTGCCGTCCTAATGCGCTTGACGGACAACTTGCCCCTAGTCTTGGTGGAGGGAGGACTCAAAACCTTCCTCTGTCTCTTGGCCTTTGACACCTCAGAGCCTGAAGCTTCCATGCGTTCAGGGGGGTTTGTGTCATCTTGGCCGTGGGGTAGCGCCCGCAAGAGGGCCTTTCCTACTGAAGCCGCCACGGCGGCGTTGATCATGGTTTGGAAGTCTTGGGTGCTTTGAGTATCTTCCATGATCTGGGGCTTGTATCGACCTGTCGGGCGAAAACAAGGTTCAGTGGAGGGGAGCCACGTACAGATATAGATTGACTCTGCGTATGTTTAAAAGGCTCTATATGCACGTAATATATGATTCAGGGCAATATGCGTATCTCAGTACCTAGGAGGTATGGGCCCTTGTGCATATCAACGGGGTTCGCCCCGGGTGGTGTGCCGTGGCAATCAGAGGACACCCACATCAATTAAATTGGGTCGTCAGCGCCCTTGCATGCGTATCTGGGGGGTCACCCCAGGTGGTGTGCCATGAAAAAATACCCAGAGGACACCCACATAAATTTGCACCCTTAGGTACAGTCGTGTAATATGACCCTGTGTAGGGTTATTAATATAGCATACCCCTGAGGGTAAAGTAATGTCAGATCCCCTGTGGGGTATGAATGTATATGTCCCAGCAAGGGACAGTGAGTCAATCTGTACAATTGATAAAGAGCCTTTAATAGTCAACTTCATAATACATTTCCTGTGCATGCAATTTCTCTGCCTCACTGAGGCATAAATACAGTGTAGGAAAAAACACACCCTTGAAGGGTGTAGGTGTAGCATAAAAAATATGATGGCACTTGTGAGCAGCTGGGGGGTCACCCTGAGGGCACTCCCCGGTATCGTGGCGGCGATCGGGTGAATCCCGAACCGCCGTGTGTGAGGGTGAGGCGGATCTCGCGAGCCGCGAGATCCAAGATGGCCGCCGGCCGCGTGGATAGAGGTGTCTCGCTCGCGGCCGCGAGCGAGGTGAAGAAAAACGCGGCAAACTAAAAATTAAACCCCGGCTACCCTCCACCCGTCCCCAACAGCCCCTGTGTGTGGAGAAAAAGCGGGTCCGCGTGGTGAGCGTGGCACCGACGGCCGCGCCGCCCGCGGGCCGCCGAAAGAGAAATAAGGAGGAAAATAACGCAGCAGAACAGAGACACAGAGGGGAAATACTAAAGAGTAGGGGGGACAGTATAGGCAGTCAGGGGTTAAAGTAGTACAATAAAAACACAATAAAAAACTAGAAAAGTTACAATTTCTGTGGAAATTGTGTGAAGTGTTCTTGCCTCCACCTGTAGTCTACAACTGGAGTGGGCGGAGTAACTGTTATCATTTACATAGCACATTTAATTGCAACGTTGTTGCACAGTTACATTAAACCATACATTTATAAAAACATTAGCAGGTGTTCAAAAGGCCCTGTCTATGACATCACTTGCTGCTGCAGCTTGACACAGGTCAGAGTATTTTGCCGGTTGCCATCTTCAAACGGTCGTATCTTAAAAACTATAACTACTACAGTGAAGAGCTTTATATTGTGAGAATCACAAGACCAAGACCTACATTTTGATGCATAGTATGTCTCTGAAGTATTAAAATTGAAGGCCCAGTCGCAGTTTAGAAATTGCACTTCAAATTTGAGCTTTGCAGAGTGAAGTTTCAATGAATGTCAATGGACGGCGTTGGTTGCAAACAAATGGTCATATTGTGAAAACTATCAGGACTACGGCTTAGCCGTTGACATGTTTAGTGGCAGCAGGGATAGCTGAACGTTTTGATATAAGATTTGTGTAGGTGGGCCTGAAAATAAGGGAGTGGTGGCAGTTTAGAAATCATGTCCTGATTTTTCAGCTTTTGCAGCTCCCACTCTAGCTTTGCCATTCATTCCTATGGGACAAATTCGCCACAAGAACGACGATATTCCGTGAACCATTCGGCGAAACGTTCCACAAAGTAATAGCAATCCGATCGGGAACAATCTGCACGTTTTGGTAAATTTTTGTCTATGTAGTGTAAAAACTGTGGGAGGAGTTAGGGTGGCAAATTTTGCTATAATAAGAATAATAATAACTAGAAAAGCTACAATTTCTGGGGAAATTGTGTGAAGTGTTCTTGCCTCCACCAGTAGTCTAGCACATTCAATTGCAACGCTGTTGCACAGTTACATTAAACCATACATTTATAAAAACATTAGCAGGTGTTCAAAAGGCCCTGTCTATGACATCACTTGCTGCTGCAGCTTGACACAGGTCAGAGTATTTTGGTGGTTGCCATCTTCAAACGGTCGTATCTTAAAAACTATAACCCCTACAGTGAAGAGCTTTATATTGTGAGAATCACAAGACCCAGACCTACATTTTGATGCATAGTATGTCTCTGAAGTATTAAAATTGAAGGCACAGTCGCAGTTTAGAAATTGCACTTCAAATTTGAGCTTTGCAGAGTGAAGTTTCAATGAATGTCAATGGACGGGTTGGTTGCAAACAAATGGTCATATTGTGAAAACTATCAGGACTATGGCTTAGCCGTTGACATGTTTAGTGGCAGCAGGGATAGCTGAACGTTTTGATATAAGATTTGTGTAGGTGGGCCTGAAAATAAGGGAGTGGTGGCAGTTTAGAAATCATGTCCTGATTTTTCAGCTTTTGCCAGCTCCCACTCTAGCTTTGCCATTCATTCCTATGGGACAAATTTCGCCACAAGAACGACGATATTCCGTGAACCATTCGGCGAAACGTTCCACAAAGTAATAACAATCCGATCGGGAACAATCTGCACGTTTTGGTAAATTTTTGTCTATGTAGTGTAAAAACTGTGGGAGGAGTTAGGGTGGCAAATTTTGCTATAATAATAAGAATAATAATAATAATAATAATATATATGTGAGATAACATTAAGTGGTCTTGCTATGCAAGAACACTTAAATACAGCAATACATAAGGTATACTAGAGGTAAAATTACTCTGACCTGTATATGGCTGGAGCAGCAAAGAAAGAGGAAGTGATGTCATAGACAGGGCCTTTTATGGGCACCATATCTTTTTTCTGATTGGTTGTTACTGTTTCTATGCTGCTGGAGTTTTCAGTAAAGAAAGATATGCAAATATGAAGCCTCCTGTCATGTGGTAAAATTAGTAATTTTGCCAACAAGACGTCTCTATTTTGACCTTTGATATATCTGACATATCTGTATGTCTTAATGAGATTAATACCAGAGTAAAACGACCTCTTTATTTATTTATTCTTTACATCCTAATATAGATTTTTTTTTTTTTATTATTTTGTATTTTTGCAGTGCATAGTAAAGTTACAGACAGGCCTGAGTTACTCCATCGGCAATCCTCTGGCATTCTCTCACGCGATCCTTGTGGGGCATATGAGAAAACATGCACAATTTTATGATCTAGGCAGGAAATCTAAACGTGAAGGTATCAAGTGATTAGGAGCTATACTATAGGCATGAAAGTAACACAGGCTTAAGTGTGTGTCTTTACGGTTAGTTAAGTAAGTTCTTGTTTTGCCTTGTAGACTCCGGTTTTTGGCTACCGTGTAGGCCCCTTGGGTTGGCGGGTTAAGCAGTCATCTGACACAGCTACGGGGGTTGCTTCTCACGCTTGGATTCAGTCTGGTTAGGGGAGCAGTATAGCCTCGCAGATGTGGGTCACACCTCCTGCCCCGGTGCCTATGGAGAGCTGGTACTCTCTGGCCACGAACCTGGGATCCGTTGTTGTCCAGGGTCTTCCCTGTTGGGATGGTGCTGTGGGTTATGCGGTCGTTCATTGTGTGTTGTCGCTTGTGGCCCTCCACGTATGTGGCCGGTACCTGCGGCGGGGACCGGGATATCGTCCATGGGGAGGTGAGGGGGGGGGGGGTTCTTGTGCTCGTGTGTGGCTTGGAGCGGCGGGAGGAAAGTGGCCGCCTTTCCCCTCCACTATCCCCCGGTAGGCCTCAACCTGCTGCTGCGGTTCCTGGTCGATCCGGGTGTCGAGTGTGGTATCTTTAGGTTCTTGCGGGCTTCCCCTATCCGTACAGCTTTGTGTGGAGAGGTCTGCAGCCTGCAATATCGTTGCGGATAGAGCCTGTACAGCAGAAAATCATGCGAGACGCGTCTTGTTTCTTTTGCTGGTCGGGCTCCGCCCCCCAATATAGATATTTTACATCTATATATTTTACAATTCCATAATTTATTGTGCTGCAAACTCTTATTGGCCATTCACTGCACTGATCGCTATTAAGAATTGACAAGTAAATTGCTTTTTATTTTATTTTTATTTTTTTGCTGCTTTGGCCTAAATGTTTCAATACTGTTATACAGGGATGCCCAAAAAGTAGATCCCCAGGTGTTGTAGAACTTCCAACTCCAATGATGCTTTGCATGCCTTTACCAAGGCCGTAGTTTTAAAACATCTGGGGATCTTCCTTTTGGGCAACCTGCTTTAATTAGTTGTCCATAATTATTGGTTTAGGGACTTACTCTTGTAGGTGAAGCAAAGCTAGCGTTTGGCTTGATGCTAAATTATAGGCCTTTCAATTTCTACTTGATATTGAACACTATTTTAAAGTCCGAACTCCTTAAGCATTTTAAATAGTAATGTACTGTTTAACGTTCATTAGCCACCTTTGCTGAAATGCTTCTGTGCATTTTCCATATTAGAAGCTGTATGGACTAATGAGGAACCGCACAGTCTATTTTCTCTTAAAAGGACACTATAGTCACCAACACAACTTTAGTTTAATGAAGCAGTTTTTGAATATAGATCATGCACCTGCAGTCTCACTGCTTAGTTCTCTGCCATTTAGGAGTTAATCACTTTGTTTAAATAGCCCTAGTCACACTCCCTGCGGGTGACTTACACAGCCTTCCTAAATACTTCATGTAAAGAGTCATCTAATGTTTACACTTCCTATATTTCAAATATATAATTTTTTTATTAAGAAATTCTTATCTCCTGCTCTGTTAATTGCCTTCTAGATCTTGCAAGAGATGTAATTAAAGTTAAATTTACACAAAAAAAATAAAAAAAAAAAATGAATAAAACAAACAAAAAAAACTTTTGAGGTACGTTACATCTGATTTAAAAGTGAAATCATTTATTTTCATACAAGTGGTTGGAGTCACAGCCAGGGAGGTGTGGCTAGGGCTGCATAAACAGAAACAAAAATGATTTAACTCCTAAATGGCAGATAATTCAACAGTGAGGCTGCAGGAGCATGATCTGTACACCAAAACTGCTAAATTAAGCTAAAGTTGTTTTGGTGACTATAATATCCCATTATGTCCATAGGTGGGAGTTGGCACCCAGACCACTTCTGCCCATTGGAGTGGTCTGGGTGCCAACTCCCACTACCCTTAACCCTGCAGCTGTAAATATTGCAGTTTTCATAAACTGCAATAATTACATTGCAGGGTTAACTCCTCCTCTAGTGGCTGTCTACTAGACAGCCACTAGAGGACACTTCCTGTTTTCTAGCACAGGTTTTCTGTGCTAGAGCGTCGCTGGACGTCCTCACGCTGTGAGGAACTCTAGCGTCGCTCAATTCCCCATAGGAAAGCATTTTCAATGCTTTCCTATGGAGAGGTCTAATGCGCGCGTTGCCACGCATGTGCATTAGGTCTCCCCCACTGGCGGCCGCGCATGTGCGATCGGTCTCCCCCGCCGGTTGACGTCGGCAGGAGAGGAGCATGGGTGGACACAAAACCACCGCCGAGGGACATCGGCGGGGGTCTCAGGTAAGTCACTGAAGGGGTTTTCACCTCTTCAGCAACATGGGATGGGTGGTGGGAGGGAGAGGTTACCTGCAGTGCCAGGAAAACGGTTTTCCTGGCACTGGAGTGTCCCTTTAACCAATTCACACGGTAAACCTCTGAGTGAAACGTTCCCATATGCAAAAATGTGTCCTTGTTTGATTTCCTAATTTTTCCTATGTTTGACGTGACTAGCTTGTAGCATATCTGAAGTTTTTCTATCTGTGCCAATGTGCTGACCAATGGGAAACTTTGACATTGGGTCATTGGCACCCAACGCTATCAGATTTCAAGATGAAATACATTGTGGTAGAGGGAAAACATCTGCTTTGCAAACAGACAGAATTACCCAACTGATCTTTAAATTAATATTGACTTATTGGGGGGGGGGGAGACGTGGCATATAAGGATGAAAAAAGAGGGGGGGGTGGGGAATCATTTTATTTTATTTTTTTTCTTGCGAGATTGGCATGTATCTAGTGAGAACCATCTCACTAGAACCAAAAATCTGGGACAATGTTTCTTCTCATACCATGCTGGCACTATATATTATAGTCATTATTCCGGTTTGCTAACCTTCTGATGCACTCATAAAATATGCTTGTATCAGTAGGGTCTGTACAAATACCTACATCACTACCTTGTTCCTAATTTTACACCATTTCCTGTTTGCTTCCTCTGAGAGGAATAGGTATGGGTGAATTCTGACTTACTCCAGCACCTTTTATATGTTGGGTCCATGAGACCCAGAGAAGCGTTGCATAGACATGCGAAGTGGCTTGGCCACCCCACAGCCAAGCAATAAACACCTTGTTTATATCACTTCTAGATTAATGGAAGTGTCATCTGGGGCCTCCCACTCCTGAGGGTTGGGATGGGGTGCTTGGTACAGTATTGAAATGTCCATTTAAAAAAAAAAAAAAAAATGAATGAGAGATTGCCCGCCATGATTCGTTAGGACCCCAGACAAAGTATTAACCTTATTGGAGGGAGCTGTTTTGCTGGTGGAGCGGGGTGGGGAGACTTACCCTTCAATCTACCTTGTATGGTTTTAATTGATTAAGACAAATTTGTTTCTCGCAACGGTTCGGAAACCAGGACAGTGGGAGATGTCCTTGGAAGGGGCAACATATCAAGAGCTACAAACTCTCAGGGGCAAATTAGAGGGTGCCTTAACATAATTTCTCCATTACCGCCACCTATTCTACTAGCAGGGGTAACCAGTGTGGAAGGATGGTCATACGTCTTTTATGGGACAAACGTGTGTGTGTGTGTGTGTATGTGTGTATATGTATATATGTATATATATATATATATATATAGTGCACCCAGATGAGTGAGAATTTGACTTTGGCAGTGGTACACACTGTGCCCCATGTTGCTTGCACTCACTCTGAAACTCTTGCTGAACAACAAAAGGGTTAACATGGACATCCAGGGGTTTAGGTCTGAAACAGAACACCACAAGGTCATGACCTCCTCCTTGTGGTCTCCAAAATTGAGAATACACTCCCAGCTATTTTATCCAAATTCAGAGCATATGAACAACTCTCTGATTTGCTAATAAATTACGCAAAATCAGAGCTACTCAATATCCCCCTCACCAAAGCAAAAATGAAAAGGATCTTTTTACCCATTTTGCTCAAATTTAAAGATTGTATCCAAGAACACTTTATCTATTGAAGACTTAAGTCTAAGCATGTTAAAATAGGCTCCTCTACATGTGAGTTGAATAAGAAAAATATACATGTGTGTTGCTGATATTTAAAGGTACACTATAGGCACCCAGGCCACTTTAGCTCATTGAAGTGGTCTGCTTGCAGTGCCCCTGTCCCCTTAGTCCTGCAATGTAAATCATTGCTGTTTTTGAATAACTTCAATAACTACATTGCAGAACTACACCTGCCTTTTAGGGGCTGTCAGACAGCCACTAAAGGCGTCCTGATGGCTAACCAACTTATGGTTGCCTAACTGACACTGGACGTCCTCATGCTCTGCATGAGGCCATCCAGCATCTGTAAACTTCCCATAGAAAAATCATTGAAATATGGGGAGAGCTTTAAAGGGACACTATAGTCACCAGAACAACTATAGCTTATTGAATTTGTTCTGGTGAGTAGAATCATAACCTTCAGGCCTTTTGCAGTAAACATGGTCTTTTCAGAGAAAATGCAGTGTCTACATTACAGCCTAGTGATAACTTCACTGGCCACGGCTCAGATAGCTGTTAGAGATCCTTCCTGGGTCATGGCTGCCTAAAATCCACCAAACATTCAGTATCTCCTCATCTGCATGCAGACACTGAACTTTCCTCACAGAGATTCATTGATTCAATTCATCTCTATGAGGAGATGCTGATTTGCCAGGGCTGTGTTTGAATTGTGCTGGCTCTGTCCCTGATCTGCCTCTTTGTCCGTCTCAGCCAATCCTTTGGGAAAGCAATGTGATTGGATCAGGCTACCTTTTCTGATGATGTCAGCAGACTGCTTGTTTTTCTGAGGCAAACAGCATGCAGAGTTACAGTTTCAGGCTTGAATACAGTAAGATTTTGCTATATTTATGGAGGCACGAGGGGCCCAGAGTGGCTAGATGGTGGTTTGAACACTATAGGGTTAGGAATACATGTTTGTGTTCCTGACCCTATAGTGATCCCTTAATGTTCATGCAAATTAGCACCCCCCATCGGATGCCTGAGTAGGAGGCGGAATGCTGAGGGAGATCTGCGCTGGAATCGGGTGTGGGGGGGGGGGTGAACAAAGGTGTGAATTTTAAGGTTTTTTTTTGTTTTTTGTTTTTTTTTAATAGGGGGTTTGTTGTAAACACTTTCCTTGCTGGGGAGGGGAATGAGGTAGTGGTGGACCAGAGGGCACTATAGTGTAAGGAATGCAACTTTTTGCCTTTTTATTTTTATTTCAGACTGAAACAGTATTCCAGTGTTTAGAAAATGTGTAGCACACATAGGATAACAATTCCATAGTTTATTATGGAAGATGTCATATGTATGAGATACACACAAATACTGTACCTTTAAACATAGGCATATGCTACCTCTTTACTTACATTCTCTGTGATTTTGTTTTGTTTAAATGTCTATTCTATATGCATTTCAATAAACCTTTTTATTGTATAAAAAAAGGAATACGACACTTTTTACACAGACCTACCTACCATTACTTCGTTAGTGTTGTTCATTAGATGGGAAAAGTAAATATTAAACTATAATATGGTTATCTGACTTGTTTGCTTCAGAGCTGCCCATGCAATACCCAGAATGAAGAATTGCATTTTCTATTTTAAACTTTAATATTGCCTGGAAATGTTTCTTTTGTAACCCATCTCTGTGCCGTATTAGAGTACCAATTACAACCCCATGACATATTTCTCTTAATGGCTAAGCCATCCTTCAGCGTGGCACAGTATCAAAAAATTTAGCAAAATCTGCATAGACTGAATCTCCTGCCTTGATCTGAATTCCTATTAATATCTACTTAAAGCCCAGCAGGTTAGCTAGACAGAGAAAAAAACTGGCATTCCTCCATTAAACCATAATGATCTATTCTATAGCAATATCTCATTCCGCATTGCATGCCTGCACATTATTACGTTTATTGAAATGTACGCGTCTGCAGTTCTCGTGTTTCATGGTTAAAAGAAAATTTGCACCTCAATGCTATTGTATTATAGGCTTGACTGATTTTTGTTCGTAGAAATGAATAAAAAAAATATGAAAGCTTTTTTTTTTTTTTTTTTTTAATGTGAATTGTTAGAGGATCTCTATATGGAGTAAGGGGTAATATATACTTGGTATCCCTCAATGAGGAATGGTTCCTGGCCATCCATATGATTGTGAACTGCCTGTGCCAATGGAAAGGACTCCTCTGTAATGACACGAATGAACTAAAATGTGTTTGTAACTCAGTGTAAAATACCTCAGAGGGGCAAAACGTGAGAGGGGCACCATAACCACTTCAGTCCTAATTAGAATCAAATCGCCATTGCTAATGTGTAAGTTCGCCAATAACTGTATACCTAGATAGATACTCGGACACAGGCGCCTGGGGGACCCTCCTTTTTGTGCCTTAAAGCTTGAAAAGATTTGACACCAAAAAGAGGAACAGTGTTTGGTACAGACTAGCATAATAATCATTACAGAGAGCTGCAGTGTTTGTGGTGCATAGAGTGCCATTTTAAGCTTTTTGGGTGTACTTCTAGAGAGAGAGAGAACACCGATGTAAAGAAAGTGATGCATATCTGATGGGGGTGGAAATAGGCTCTAAAAACATTGGACTGTATCTGAACGTAAATAACTATATAACCGGTGAGAGTAACAACATCCAAGCTTATTACTTTGTATTTATGAACGCACTTTAAAAAAAAATAAAAAAAAAAAAATACTTATTTATTTATTTTATGACAAACTCTGAACAGTGTCTTTCCATCCTTTATCCCGCAGGCCTTTGTTTCTGGATTGCTGGAGAAGATTCAGGGAATGCAAAAACTGAGCACCCCTCAGAAAAAATAAAGGGGAGAGAGCAGCACCCGCTAACACTTCTGGCAGAAGTGCCATTTCAGAGGCTGTCAGGGTCATAGGATCCCACTATGGATGGGTGGCTGCCGAAGGTTTGTGTGTAGTTGCAGCACAGGCGATCCTCCATTTAGTTTTTGTTTTTTCTATGAAGTTTTTGTGTCTGGCTTTTTTTTTTTTTAAATGGTCTTTTTTTAATTAAATGAAGAAGAAAAAAAAAAGAACATGTTTGCAGTGTTTTTGTACCCAGCAAATTAAAGGTAAAGTCCCATGCTGATTTCTTCCTGCTAAATCTCCAACCTAATATATTCAGTCTTTGTTACTTTGTCTAAATTCAATCCATTTCGGTGTCTGCCTCGAGCATTTCCAGAGCAGTGTCTCATTTCCAACAAGGCTTTTCTATTCCCTGCGGATGGCTTTGTCACATTTACCAGTTGCTACTTAGTGACTGCTCCCAGGAGGGCAAGATAAAGAACTGGCAGTGTGATCTGGAACACAAGATCGAAACAAATCCAACTTACCACCTCTCTGAGCAAAACCTGGTGCAGTAAACCAGGGCTGCCCAAAAGGTAGATCCCCAGATGTCTTAAAACTACACTTTCCATGATGCTCTGTCATTCTAAAGGCATGCAAAGCATCATGGGAGTTGTAGTTCTACGTCTGGGGATCTACATATTGGGTACCCCTGCCATAAATACTGGAGCCTCTCTTTGCCTAAGCCAAGGGTTAAAGCATAAATCTTGCTCCTCCATGCACTGATTCCCAGCCTCCTCCCTCTTTCCTTCCCCATCAGACACAGTGGTAGACATAGCAAAATCAATTGCTATCACCATTGTTAAAATGTCATCATATTAAAGCAGCACTCAGGATGCTATAGTGGCAGGAGTTCCCACAGAGTTCATTGACTGATGGGGATCTGCTAGCCCTACACTGCACGGCTTAGCTGAGGTTAGCCAACAGGAGCCATGTTTAGAGGTTTCAGTCACTCTCCAACCAGGTAGGAATTCAAATTGTTCTAAAACATTGTGTTCCTTTAAACTCTAACAATATCAAGTAACGGCAACATAAATGGCTATAATGAAAACTACTCCTATATCTGTAAACATACACTTAGGACAATGTGCCTTCTGATTTAATGTGCTCTTTAATCAAATAGCAGTAGGAAGAAAGATTACACGCAAACAAAGGCCTTCTCGCTCTGCTGTGTACACATTCATGAAAATGTTTAGTTTCAAGCAAACATCTGGGAATTGTTTAGCATTCTGACCATATCTCGCGTAAGATCACCTTTCCGATCTACATACTAATGCTTTGTTGGTATCCGAGCATGGATAGTTGATGAGGGTGAACTCTTGCTTAAAGAACCTTAATCTGTCTATAAACATTCCTTATGTTGCTATCTCTGTACAGTTGCATGCTGTAGCTTTTTGGGAGAGTCTGTTCTGCCTGCATGTTACAGCCACCAGCTGTCGGGCTAGTGCCATGAGCGCTTGTTTAAGCAAAGCCCGCAGTCGTCAGAAAATGTGGGTTAAATAGTTTTTTGTTTTTTTTTGTAACCTTAAAGGTATACTGCATGTATGGTTCCTTTTTAACCCCTTAAGGACCAAAGTTCTGGAATAAAAGGGAATCCTGACATGTCATGTGTCCTTAAGGGGTTAAAGGGACACTATAGTCACCAAAACAACTTTAGCTTATTGAAGAAGTATAGGTCATACCTCCTGAAGTTTTACTGCTCATTTATCTGCCATTTAGGAGTCAAATCACTTTTGTTTCTGTTTATGCAGTATTAGCCACATCTTCCCTGGCTTTGACCGAGAACCTGCATAAAACTTAAATGGTTTCATTTTCAATCAGATGTAACTTACTTTAAAACATTGTATCTCCTCCTCCGTAAATTGACTTTTAATAACATACAGGAGGCTCCTGCAGGGTATAGCAAGCTATTAACCGAGCAAGAGATAAGCAAAATCTAAATTGAACAGACTTTGCAATAAAAGTGTAAACGTAAGATGACTCTTTACAGGAAGTGTTTGGGAAGGCTGTATAAGTCACATGCAGGGAGGTATGACTAGGACTACATAAACAAAGTGATTTAACTCTTAAATGGCAGTAAATGGAGCAGTGAGACTGCAGGGGCAAGATCTGTACCAAAAACTGCTTCATTAAGCTAAAGTTGTTTTGGTGATTGTGTGTTCCTAAAGCTATAGTATCTTAGTCAATAGTTACCTTTTCTCCCATACTGCGCTATTCTTGCTATGGCTGGGCCAACCTCATTGGCTGAGATAATCTCTCTGAGACCATCTGCTTGATATAGCAGTTTTACTAGGCTATTTCTGCAAAAGGTTCTAACTTGCAGGGTTAGAGATTATAGCCACCCAGTCAGCCACATCTCAATGAAGTGGTGTGGGTGCCATGTCCCTCTAGTTAGTAGCTACACTGGATTTTTTTTCCCCATATTGAGAATTCAGAGTGGATTTAAAATTTTATGCCAAATTAGCTGAACTAGCATATCTAAATTAGATATTTCCAGTTTAGATATTTTGGCTCTAAATTTATATTGTTTGAATTCTCACATTAGTAAGTAACCCTGACAGTCCTCCCAACTTGCTATGTCCCCCTTTTTCTTCAATAATACCACTGTACATGATAGAATCAAGCTGCACATCCGAAGGCTCTGAAAGTTCTAATTCAGCTGTTGGCATTCTATACTCAAAACCTAGCATACTACCCAGAAACCTCTACTGCGCCCATAAGATGGTGCTGTGCAGATTTGAGAAAAGCTCAGCACTGCCCAAGAACATTATATCCTGTAGCTTCTGGAAGAGGAGGCTAAACTCCATCTACAGGAGTGTCCAAAAGGTAGATCCTCAGAAGTTTTAAAACTACAGCTTCCATGATGTTTTTGTCATTCTAAAAGCATCATGGGCACTGTAGTAATACAACATATTGGGATCTACATTTTGGGCACCCCTATGACATACACAGAGAAACATGTAGTGTCCTAGGGAGTATGGATGTGAAAATAGAACTGGGGTTTAGGACCTATAGGGAAGGTATTTATAAAAGGTTTCCTGTCCAATGGGAGTTGTGGACAGAGCTAACTTAACCCCTTAAGGACACATGACATGTGTGACACGTCATGTTTCCCTTTTATTCCAGAAGTTTGGTCCTTAAGGGGTTAAAGTAGTGTGTCCATGGGCAGTTATTATTTAACTCCTAGTTGCCCCTGTGTACCATTGCAAGGCAAATGCCTACATACATAATGTGTCTGCAAAACTAGTGAATACAGAGTATTGCTGGTGATTTTGTAACAATTTCTGCAACAGAAGTAATAGTTCAGTTGCTGTAGTGTTCAGGTGAGCTTGGTCAGCTGACATAAGCATTAAAAAGGAAAAGCCAGTGACCTTACAATGGAGTACTCTATATAGAATTAACGCTTATTTGAACTGTTCAGCTTTAATGCCCACAGAGCAATGGATTCAATGTTTCTCTAGAAGGTATTTAGGAAACCTCTCCATGCAAATCACAAGGCCTTTAAATCTCCTCAGGACTTCCATTCACTTTGTGTAAACAGAGGGATGGCTGATTTCTATTTACAGATCATTAGGACATGGGTAGCCACATAACATTTTGCAGATGCAGGGGTTGCCATAAATTATAGGCACCATCCCACTTTTGCACAATTTTCAAAGGATGGCTGATTTCCAGGGAGCCTCTTGCCCCCTCTCTTTTCCTATGGTGCAGACACGTTGACAGAGGATTGTGTTAAACCACCGCTCAAGGACGGTTTTGACATCTTTTCTGTTACAGCTACCATAGAAAGCAGGCCTCTATAGTCCCAGCAATCATGGTTTGTGAACATCTGGGTCATTCAAACAGGCTAGCTCATCACAATTCTACTTTACATTTAAACCATTAAATCTGCACACTGTTTTTAGTACATAGAAACAGCAGCCTCGCTTCATTACATTTTATTCACAGACTGTCAGTGCACAGATCAGCAATATCTTCTTTTGGTCCAACACCCAACTGCGAAGATGGTATGCAACTTAAATATTGCCTGATCTCTTCTACATCCTAAACACTATGGTGTGTTTGTTTTACATGAAAAGCCAAATGCAACCTTCTCTTATATGGTAGAAGTGATCACTTGGCCTCCTGTAGAATAATACAATCAGGATGCCAGTCAGTTTGTGTTTTGTTTATTTTCTCTTTTTAATGTCCGTAAACAGACGCAGGAGCAGTTCTCATAGGGACACTATAGTCTCCAAAATAACACTTGCTTACTGAAGCACTTTTTGTGAATATATCATGGCCCTGCAGGTTTACTGCTCAGTTCTCTCCCATATTGGCATTAAAATCACTCGTTTCTGTCCATGCAGCCCTAGCCACACCTCCCCAGGCTATGTAAGTCACATACAAGGTGGTGTGACTAGGGCTCAATAAACAAAGCGATTTAACTCCTAAATAGCAGAGAACTGAGCATTGAGACTGCAGGGTCGTGATATATACACCAAAAATGCTTCTGTACACTAAAGTGGTTTTGATTCTTATAGGAGCAGGGGTGCCCAAAAGCTAGGTCCCCGATATTGTAGAAGGAAGCTTTAATAAAGTCATTACAAGATCAATGCATCATGAAACATCTGGGTATCTACCTATTCGACACTGCAGCTATAAAAATGAACACACCAGGCACCATAATCACTACAGCAGGCAGTCGTAGTTATGCCTGGAGTGCCCTAACACACACACACCAATCACCCCTTTCTCATTTGCACTTTTGAAATACTATACCAGGCATAGGCAACCTGCACTTCAGCTGTTTTGGACTACACCTCCCATGATGCTTTGCTAGCATTATGGGTGTAAGAGCATTATGGGGGATGTAGTCCACAACACCTGGATTCCCAGAGGTTGCCTACCCCTGTACTATACAGATAGGAGTCAATGACCTCTTATTGGTTAAACTACATGGTTTATCTTCCAATCAAGAATTAAGTTTGTGCGACACTTTAATTAGCAAAACTAAAGATATTTGAATGGAAAAACAGGATATCCAGTGCCTTGCATCAGCATGCGGAAGGACACACTACAATTAGTGGAACAATTGTTAAAAGGAACACTTCCAAGCACCATAACCACTTCAGTAACTTATGGTGTATGGAGCATTCCTTTAACCCCTTAAGGACACATGACATGTGTGACATGTCATGATTCCCTTTTATTCCAGAAGTTTGGTCCTTAAGGGGTTAAGGCATACATGAGATTTGTGCGAAAAAGGAAAAAAAAAAAAAAATCTGATGAGAGAGGAAGGGTGAAAACTGGTTCAAGATGTACGTACACACACACACACACACACACAATACTGAGAATCCCTATTGTCAGTTGATAAGTCACCTTTCTTCAAAAAAGGTTTCCCCCAAATTCCCATTCAAGAGAGACCTGAAACACGTGATTGGTATAGATTATATTTACTATAAAGCTGCCAGCCAGTGCCTAAAAAGTGTACAGAGTCAATTGCTGCAGGGCCATGATTGGTTACTCCTTTAAATCCATTTGTATCTGTAATTATTTCAGGGGCAATGTATGCTAAAAGGTTTTCAAGTATGCATAACACCCAGACTATAAACAATAATGTTCTACTAAAGGATGTTGCATAAACATTTGAGGAGCACCTTAAAACCTTCATCACAATGCACCATGCGATCAGAGTTATTACAACGCTTAAGGAATATATTCCTGGCATGAATCAGCCCTCTCTGCCAATAAGGTTAGAGCTCCATCTGCAGTACTCATTAGGGTTAGTGCAGGTCATTAAAATGAGTTAATCTGCATATTAAACATTTATATGCCATAACCTACCTAGCATCTACTACTCACTTTTTAAATAGCTTAGGGACATGACAAAAACCATCACCACAACAGTGCCCCCTTATGGTGCCAGGAGTGCCCTCCTAATGTAAGTAGTCAAAACATTTTAGAATGGTTTGACTTCTTACCTAGTGTCAGTCAGGCACCTGGACGGTCACCTATATGGCTGTTTTATGCTAGTTAACCTTTACTTAAAGGGCTAGCCAAACCACATGAGTGATTTGAAGTGGTCATGGTGTTAGGAGTCTTGAACCAGGAGATATTTAAACTTGTGACCCGGGAGCTAGTTACACCTCTGGCTTTGGCAGCCCGGTTAGGCCAGCCTTCCTCTTTATAAGCTCAGAGCACATGCATGCGCTGTGAGCCAGTGAAACAGTCCAATCTCACGCTTATCTACAAGAAGCCGATGATTGGAAGAGTGGAGCTCTGTTTAATAGGGCAATATGCGTGAAAAAGGATTGGAGTAACCCTTTAATACACCATGTACAATTACAGTGTAATCAAGTGTATACAACAAATATTACTTCAAATAACATTGTTTTCACCTTTATACTCTGCTAGTATGGAGTGTGTGGCTTGCAATCCTGAAATGCATGGTGTGGGCTTCAAAACACACACACACTTTCCATACTAGTTTTTGTCTGAGTTCAAAGGCTAGTGATGGTATTGACACACAGGGCAGTGTTTTTTAAACAAATAAACAAGGACTAAAAAGGGTTCAGTAACTCCACATGAAGAGAATTGCCTAAGTTCTCAGGCCCTGGGTGGTCACAGCCACAAGATTGTTCAGCAATTTATATACAGAAGTCAATAGTATTTTTTTTCTGTAAATGGATATTAAAAATTCTCTTTGGTACATTGAGTACTTTTGCTTTGCATAATCTCAGAACTTTGTTGGAAAGTAGCATACAGCCTTCATATACTTTTTAAAAGCATTACTGGTTAAAAGAGCAATATGGCCGTCCATTACACCAGCTTTACTGATCGCCTATAAATCCCAATAAGTGTGTTACTCTGACCCCCAAAGGTGGTCTCCAACCCATTACGCATATTCTGCAGAAATGACCACACTAAATGTTTAGTGTCTGTGTTTATTCAGTACAGTGACAGGCTGTCCCCAACACAAATACTGTGCCCCAGACGAAGGAATGAGACGGCCCTCCACCCATCTTTATAAATCCGATCGTCTGTCAATCTCCAATAATTCCACTTCAAAGATCAGTGTAGCTCCACCTGAATTAAAGAAGAAGGATTTAGACACAATGGAAAGATGGAGATATGGAATAATTAAGAAGGAGTGAAGCAAAGAATGCACAGTACCTGGTATTTTGGGAGGCGCTCCTCTGTCTCCATATCCTAAAAGGGGAAAGGAAGTACAGTAGTGAGATTTCATGTATTTAAAATATATATTTTTTTTTATAAAAAAATATTTAAAAAAAGCATTTTTTGTAAATTAAAAATTCCTTACCAAGTTCAGAAGGAATTACCAGCTTCCTCTTCTCTCCTTCACACATTCTGAAAGAGATATTGTGTGTTATACATTTGTTGTAGAATTAAGACAGAAGAAAGAGCTAGAGGTTATGTACATATTTATTGTGACTCCTTTACATAAACAGTCACAGATACAATGAACGTGTCGAAAGACTAATGTAGACTTAAATGTTTTTTGCAAAGGTTTTTTTTTTGTTTGTTTGTTTTTTAAAATCTTACATAAGAGTAGAAATAAGTTTGTTGACTGTGGGCTTAAAAGGAACGTTCCGAGCCCCATAACCACTTCACCGTGCTGTAGTAGTCATGGTGCCAATTTAGATTGGTTTAACGGCTTACCTGAGGTCCACCAGGTGTTGCCAGCAGTGCACGGCTTAGTTCGTGAGAGATAAAGGAAGCTCCTAGCAGGAGCTTCTGGTTCACAAAGTAGAAGAAAGACTTAAAAAGTGAGTGGAAGTAAAAAGATGGTAGGGATAAAACGTGGGGGGAGGGAAAGGAATGAGGGATAGAGAGAATGTTATCATGAAGATTGAAATTGTATAAGTGAGTACATACACCCCTACTCTATAAATGCCTTGTGGAAATAACGAACATAGAACACCCAAAGTTTACATAAACTCCATTGGCAAATGCAGCCAAATGTGTGATTTCTAATACAGAGCTCTGGCTGTAGCAAGAAGAATGCATGTTTAATTACACACACATGCAATGTTTGTGCATTTCTTTATTGACCAGACCACAAGGAAGTTAAAGAGCACAGTCTTAGTATTCATATTATTACCTACTGCAGCGGTAGGCAACCTTCGGCACTCCACATGTTGTGGACTACATCTTCCATGATGCTCTTAGAGCCATAATGCTGGCAAAGAATCGAGGGAGATGCAGTCCACAAAATCTGGAGTACTACTGAATAGTGCTTATTTTATCGACCTAAGTTGGCAGGAGACCGTTGGCTCCAGGGAATCAAACCTACTATGATGTAGCCCAAGTCTCTGAGCTATCTCACATACATTCTTCAATTCCCATAATGTGTGGTTTGAAATCTGGGCAAAAGGTCTTCATAGCAATTCCCACATACAAGGCATAATCAGTCAGCTAACTAAAAAAAAAAAAAAAACCATTCGGCAAGTCAAACCCCTTGGGATGGAATCGCTTAGTGTGAAATCCTCATAATCAAGTGACATCCATGCTTTGGCATAAAATAAATTCCATTTAAGAACCATCGAAATTAAAAAGTTTATAGTCAGCCAAAAAGGGAATGCTAGGAAATGGGATTTACGGAATAACAGTTTATTAGCCTAAGGGATGCAAGGCCATTAAATAAGGCTTTGAGACAGACACCAGAAACAGAAACACATTTTACTTGTGCAAATAGAGTGTAAAAACTTAGAGTGAGAGCAGAGAAATTCAATTTCAGGCTTAGAGTGACCAATGAAGACAGATCCCCAGGCAGGCAACGCTTTGTGGAACTTCTACACCAGTACAAAGTAAACTGCGCCCTCTAGTGGACTATAGAGAAAGTTAAGTTTTGAAAACTAGTCAGCACCAGGCTATTTTAGATCTATAATTTTTTTTTTAACCAGGAAGGATACATTGAGATTTCTCTCGTTTTCAATTATGTATATAGCGTGTAAGGACAGCTTAAAAATCATACCAAATTTGGGGTCCTGATTCCCTATTTTCCGCTAACACCAAAAAGCTTAATTGTGATAAACCACCGAGATGGAAGGTTACCAGGATGGCTTGTTAGCATCAATTTCCATTATTACTTTTTATTGTGTTTCTTCGCATTTCACAGGGAATTCCATAAGCACAATCTTTTACAACTGGTGTGAGGGTTTGTTTCTTTAAACTTGCTTATGGCATAGACAGATGGTACATTTGAGGACATTTTATGACATTAGGGTGAATATACTGTGTCTTACAATCTTTTGTACTCTGTCACCAGAAATGTCAATCAGCAGCAATACACTTAGGCCTGCATTTAATATTCTTAGATAAGCAGTCCAAATAATGTAATTTTTTTTAAGGAGAGAAGAAAAATTAAAAAACAAAACAGTCTTTAACACGTAATTTGCATTTACATAACAATACAACATTTTCAATATTTTTTTAATATATATATTTTTTTATTTAATTTATTTTTATTTTATTTTTTAACTTCAACTCATTGAAACCGTGCACTTTTAGAGGAACTGCAGTGTTCACATTGCGGTGTTCAGACAGCCACTAGTGGCTATCTACCAGAGAGCCACTAGAGGCCCTTCCTGCACCTTTACAGAGTTTAACTCTGAAGCAGCGTTGGACGCCCTCACACTTTGCATGAGGACATCCAGCATCTTTAAAATCCCCATAGAAAAGCACTGATTTTGACAGGGGCCGCAGTGAAGGATTGCTGTCGGGTGATGAGTATGAATTAATTCTTAATTGTCACCCAAGGATAGCAACCTTTCAATGCTTGTCCAAGGCCCCATAGTGTCAGGGGTTGATAACCTGACCTAAAATGGGAGCATTTAGATCGACCGAATTTTGAGACCCTTCGTTGAAAGACTACCGTCCTATATCAAAGACACTAAGCAAACCCTTGCCCTCCTCTCAAACCTAAAAGGTGCCAGCCTCAGCTGGCCTTTGTAGCCTTGATGTAGAGGCACTCTACTCTTCCACCCGCACACAAGGGCCATTCAGCACATTGGATCATACCTGGAAAAGAGGGGAGATCAATATCTTCCACATACCAATTTGGCTCTGGAGCTCTCCAAGTTCATCCTGACACCATTATTTTATATTAAAAAAACAAGTTTTACCACCAGGTGAGAGGAACTACGATGGGGACAGCTTGTGTCCCATCATATGCTAACCTCCACCTGGGTTGGTGGGAGGAAAATCTTATCAATTCAGAGTTTATTTCTAAATACCTCCCCTCTATTTATGGGGTCGGACTTCGTAAAACCTCTTAATGTTAATGAAGAAAATTGAGGTTTACGAAGAGAATTTGAGGATTCTAGTCTCAATTATTTGGATATAACAATATCGATCACAGACCACTATTCAGACCACTCTTTTTAAAAAGCCTTCGGTCTCCAACAACCTTTTAAGATGGGACAGTTTCCATCCAAGAACTTTGAAGCAGGGTATCCCTGCCTTAGGGTGAGACGTAACTGTAGTACAATTGAAGAATTTAATATCAAAGCAAAGGATTTAAAACAGCAGTTTAAAGCAAAATGATACCCCAACAATTGTCTTCAACAAGCCTATAGGAGGGTGTTAGAGGCAGACTGGAAGAGTCTGTTCAAGAGACTGATCCAAAATTGCCCCCAACGTGACTATGACATCACGTAGGGGGAAAAAACCTTCCGTGACTTGTTGGCCCCTTTAAGATCACATCCTTCAACTGTAATACGGCAGCCATAGTATATTTACGTACCTGCCAATGAAATCTTAAATACGTTGGGAAAACTTTTAAACAACGGATGAAAGAACACATCAGGTCTCCCAAAAACCCAGCGGACAACCCCATCTCTAGACACCTTAGGGAATGCCATGCAGGGAACTCTAAGAGTTTACGGTTCTGTGGCTTGGAGTTGGTAAATAGAAACCCGAGGCGAGGTGATTATGACAAGTATCTAAGGCAACGTGAAGGTTAATCCTAGAGGGACCTGGCACCCAGATCACTTCATTAAGCTGTCCTTTAACCAATCTACAACCTTTTTCGATTAATATCCCTTAAAATTACTTAACTTTTTAAACTATACGAATGATAATCTGTTTTACCCATTTGAAATGGTAACTAGGAAACATTCTTCTAGGACTTCATAAATGATCTGGCAGTATATATACACCTTTTCGGAGTGTTCTGTATTTTTAACCTGATTTCCCTTATATTGAAGCACACTAGTGTCCATAGATTGTTAAATCTAATTTTACCACATGACAGGAGGCTTTGCATTTTGCATATATCTCTATTTACTAACTCCATACAGCAGTAAAGAAACATACAAAAAAAGAACCAATCACAGGAGAGCAGGATGTACAAAGGCAATGTGACCTCAGCATTTCCTCTTTTACTGCTCCATCAAACAGACAGGTCAGAGTATTACTCTTCTCCATTACTTTATGTTTCTATTGCCTTTTGTTTTTTTCTGTGTTATATTTTTTATATACTTTATATATGTTCTTGCTGTGCTTCTGTACTATATGCAGCTGTGTTTTTTCTATGTTTCATAGATATTATGTAGATTTAACGTTATCCTTATTTCATAACCTTTAGTTACTTGTAATTTATTAGTTTTATAAGCATTTCATCCTTTGTTTTGATAAGTATTATATGTATTTAATAGATGTCATGTATTTTATAACATGGATTTAATAGGTGTTAGGTGTAAATTGTATTATTGACTTAATAGGTTTTATGTATAGTTATGGTATACCATATACCATATGTATCATGACTTTTCTGGCGATTTTCCTGGCCTTCTATACCTGGGGCATCTGGGGACCATCTTTTCCCCCTTCTCCCCAGGGTCTCATGGGGATTCTGGGTCTGGCTGGGGCTTAACCCCTTCCCTCCCGCGGTTCCCGGGCATTAACCCCTTCTTCCAGCCTATCCGTTCGACCCCTTCCTCTTACAACCCTTGGGGGGAGGGCCGGACTCACTGCCCTCGCTCTCTCAGGCTGCCCCATACCGTACACCCAGTAATGTGCTGGATGCTTTCCAACATCCACTACCTTGGTGCAGGGCAGTCTGTGGGGTGACCACGAGGTAGCCCGAGCATGACGCAGCGGCCATCTTTGATCCCCGCGTCTACCAAGACTCCAGGGACCATGTTTCCCCTCGGCGGCCATCTTTAATCCCGTGTCTCGCAAGATTATGGGTGGCCGTTTTGCTACTCTCACCCACCACGATTTCGGCGCTCGAGAGTAACATATAGCTGGGCTGTCAGCTAGCCTAGCTGCTCTTGTGGCTCACGATGCTCTGACATGGACGTTGGTCCCTAGTTCAAATCCAGGCAAAGGCAAGTATTCTAACTGGCCTATTATTTACAGATTTGATAATCGTACTCATGTATAGTGATTTGAGGTACTGGAACCTTAAAGGGATATCACCCCCAAAAATCCCTTAAAAAGGGCCCAGTTATACAAATCCCAATATTGTGGTTTGTCCTGCTGGGACAATTTAACTACACTAAGTGACAGATACAGAATACCCTGCCGGGGGTTATTACACCTTACTGTCATTTATACAGACCCTGCTGGGGTCCACTGGCATTATTTACACTACAACAGATACCCTGCTGCGGTTGTTTTGATACTTTGAGACAATAAATTGCACACTACTACACCCTGCTGGGGTCTGCATGGTGCATTGCACACAATGAAACGGATTGTGCTCTCATCCAGTCTGTTTTATTTGGTTGCGACCCACGCTTGACGGATACATACCCCGCGCACCTGAGGTGATCTCTGACTAGGTATAAGCTAATCTATTCGGCTAAAAAGGGGACAGTCGCAAGCTTCAGTGCAGAATATCCCCCATGGCGGTGCACTAATTATTGGAAGAGCTGTAGGACACTATCAGGCTGATGGCCAGCACTGATGGGTTCATACCCTGTACAACCGGGGTGAGCCCCCTACAGCACTGCTGCTTCTACTCCTACCCCTCTCAACAGCGAGCTCGAGGATTGAAAACCCGAACTTCGGATCTGGGACCGGCACTTACAGGTTCAGACCCGGTGCTCTCAGGGTGAGACCCCTAAGAAAGGCAAGTCACACTACCCGACCGAAGGAAGTCTTACGGCAACAGCCTCTACCTACAGCTGAAGGAATACCTCCATTGATAATGAATCATGATACGGTACGGGTTTATGCCCTGTACCTATTCTACGGCCTGCAGTTAAAGGCCCACGCCCTATGCACCGGGCCCGGCTAGGCGTGCACTGCACTAAAATGCTAAACAGGAGTTCCGAGCCACCATACCGTAACGATATATATTCCCCTTGAGGTGAATTTAATAATGTAAGAGGTGACTGACTATCAGGGTGATGTCCAGCACTTAAGGGTTCATACCCTGTGCACCTGGGGTGAGCCCCCACTATACGTGCGCTGCATGGTGCTGCTGAACAGAGGCAATGCTATGGCAACCTCTATGTACTGGGTGAGCCCCAGTCTGTTTTATTTGGCCACGATTCGGAATAAGACCCGCAAGGGTTTCCGTGAACACTGCCTACAGTCATAGTAGACTGATCTATTTGCCCTGCATCCTGTGCCTGAATACGGGTTTGTGCCTTACACAGGGGTATCCCTTACTACGATAAACCTACTTGACAATGTTATGCACTCGTGGCTTTGCAGCCTCTTGCTTAGAATGTCCATATCCGCTGACGGTTGGACAAACCCATACCCTTCCATGCCGGTCAGAACAGCTCAGACGACTATAGTGACCAACGGAGGAGGTCTTTTACGATTCATCACCTTACCATGGGCGATGCTGGATGCCGCCAAACATCGCCCAGGAAAGGGCATACAACTTGGGTATATGGACTCAAACTGTTTCTGCTCCTTGCAGGAAACCCCAGTGTTGGCCTCTCCCATGTGATGCCCATAGCAGCACTCCTCCGCACTGACGGATGGTTGGCAGTACTGGGCGCCAAGATAGTCGGAACCCCAGGCACAAAGTTCTGAAGGGAACTTATTACACACGCAAGGGTCCCATGGCTTTCATAAGGGCCCAAACCCCTAGGAGGGAAGTGTTATGCGATTCCCTTTACAAGGGATTCTTTGGAACCGGTTGGCAACAGAGCCAATCGTTGACAGCTTCAGGACATCTGACCCGAGATCCGCTACCGCTAGCTCCATTACCCATATACAGCGAGAGTCAACCAATGGTGCTCCAGATACCTCCTACTACAACCACAGGGGATTTCACCACATCTAGGTGAAAGGCACTCAATCCTGGGGAAGACCACTTTCACGTAGTCAACCGACTTGCGTTCAGGACGGTCTTCTTCCTTCCCGCTCGACCACCTTACCTAGTTTTCAGGAGACATCCTCTCCTTCCCGGTCCAGTAGCTCGGAGCCTGGTGGGCCCTGATAAACTACCGAAAGAAGTAATGAATACAGGCGGGGAAGAAGAGACACTGCCTTCCGGGAGAACCTCATTCAGATCACTGCAGGGAACTGAAAACTCGTCAACACCCACGTTCAACCGAGAACCAGCTGGAACCTCCAGACTTGTAGAAGACTATTCGCTCAGAGGACACCGCGACCCTGTACGTTGTATACCTAGACTTCTTGGTCCTATACTTCACAATACATGGATTGATAAAGAAGTACTAGATCGGCTGCACCCTACTGCAGGTAACCACAGATTAGGCGGTCAGGTTTCACATCCACCGGGATGGACCAACTCACGTTTATCAGACAACATGTAGGCTCCTTCGATCCCCGTCTTCTTCACAGAAGATCAACCCGTCTTCTGGGGGAGACACATCTCATAGGGGCCGACTGATTTGGATATTACCACTCGTCACAGTATAAAAGTCGAGGCACGATGGTGATTGTGCTCCGTCCGACGGAACCTCCACCAAAGGACTTATGCTTCTCATGCTTACAAGGTCTACAGAAATTCTAGAGCAGACAAGGATCTTCTCCTGCTACATTCATGACCGACAATTCCTCACGGAGCCGTAGGGTACTCACATCTTCTATCCTGGGAGGGTCGGCGACCTGGGGACCTGCACCAGCTTTGGGGGTTTCTTGGCAGGTCAGCGGACGATCGCAGGCTACCGGGGACCTCTTGGGAATCTGGGAACCCAGGGATGAGACGACCCTACCCCTACATCTGGACATTCCCAGCCTGTCTGGTTCGGTCCTGCATCTTGATCCCTTATGTGAGGATGGAGACGGAACAGCAGCCCGTATCACTACCTAAGGACGCCCAAGGGACTAGGATCCTCTAGGATACCAACTACCCAATGTCATACCTCTCCAGCCTATGTGTTGTGGAGGTCGTTCTCCTTTCACTCTACGGGACTAAACATCCTGCTGACAAACGGTCAGACTTGGTCTTGTATAATTTCCTGTTAGATGGTGTATACGTGAGCGCTCAACGGGGAAGACTTCCCCCACAACGCCGAATACTGGGTCTCTGCACACCGTAGGACTCTTATTTGGTTCTATACTCTTTTCTCAGTGTTAAAAATGCAAAATACGAAGCCTCCTGTCATGTGGTAAATTTGAAGATGCTAGCTTTAGTGTACTAAATCTTAATAACAGGAGGTGAGTATTCCCCCCCCCCCCCCCGCTTCGCTGCCCACCCTTTCTATTAGTTTGCTTTGCAGATATCAGGGGCTACGGTAGGTTTGCCTCTCACACCGGTGCTTATATGATATGTTCGTACTTCCATTAATATGGAATCCTCAGAGTTCTCATTACAATTACTCAGTTAACATATTATAGTTACTATATTCTCTAATGGGATGTTAGGTGGTACGTTAATTGGAGTTACATGTTCATGACCATGTCTAAACCTGTCACACATTCTTTTTATTTAGTATGATTCGTCTCTGAAGATAATTGGCAGTTCACATGAAACTATTGGAGATTTTATCCTTCGGATTTGTCTCAACCCTTAACTCTTTTTCGTTGTTCGTATAGAATTCTTTGGAAGTTTGCTTGGAGTTATTATTAGTTTTATTGTTTGCTATATATTTACATCTGCTTGTTGTCGCTTTCTGAAAGAGGAAATGCTGAGGTCACATTGCCTTATGTACATCCTGCTCTCCTGTGATTGGTTCTTTTTTCTATGTGTTTCTTTACTGCTGTATGGAGTTAGTAAAGAGATATGCAAAATACGAAGCCTCCTGTCATTAAAATTAAGATTATTAGTACACTAAAGCTAGCATAATCTTCAATTTAAACTATCCATAACAATTTGCTTGAACATTACATATGGGTTTCGTTACTTTTTTGGGATAGGTTTTATTTTTTTTAGTTTTTTTATTAATGGCCATTCTTAGTCTCTTTAATGGTTTAATATTATGGCAATGTTTGCAAAAAGTATATAGATAACCATCTATTGAGATGCTCCAATTTATACTTATGCCTATTTATCTTTAAACACTTACACTCAGATTCTGCCATTTTTGAACAGTTGTTTAACTTGACTAAAATTCTGAGTTTACATATGGACTTCAACTGTTTAACAGCCTCCTATAATCTTTCTCTACCTTGAGGCGTTAACCTGCACTAATTGGTTAACGGCATTATTGATTGTGGGGCATGCCTATATGTTCTCTCCCCTCTCCCCCGTGTTTACCTGATTGGCCATGTTACATCATTGGAGGTTACTACACTTAAAACAGCCGACGAACTCCGTTAATTTCTGCTCTTGACAAAAGGCGCAAGATAGCACCGAAACGCGTTAAGGACGCCATTATGGGTGGTTTTTATTTTATTAGGGTTTCCTAGGGGCGCTGCCATCATGCACTTTGCCAGGATAGTAAGCTTAGCTACTTATTTAGAGCTGCCTCGAAGCAGCTAGAGAGATTTGGGGGTGTAAGGATTTGCGTGGGACGGATTCAGATTTTTATATGATAGGGATTTACCTTTACCTCTAAGTACTTATACCACCCAGAGTATGAGATTAAGGTTTATGGATTAGGACCTTTAGAGAGGTATCTCAAAGGGAAACGCCAGTGCCAGGAAAACAGTTTTCCTGGCACTGCAGTCTCCTCTCCCACCCCAGGTAGCTGAAGGGGTGAAAACCCCTTCAGGTCACTTACCGGAGACACCGCTGATGTCCCTCGGCGGTGGTTTCTGCTCGCCGCCGCTCCTCCCAGTGATTACGTTAGCCAGTGGGTGAGACTGATCCCACCTGCCAGCTGAGGAAACCTAATGCCGCGCACGCACATTAGAGCACTCCATAGGAAAGCATTGAAAATGCTTTTCAGTGCTTTCCTATGGGGAATTGAGCTACGCTGGAGGTCCTCACACTTTCTGTGCTATAATCCAGGAAGTGCCCTCTAGTGGCTGTCTATTAGACATACACTAGAGGTGGAGTTAACCCTGCAAGGTAATTATTGAAGTTTATGAAAACTGCAATAATTACACTTGCAGGGTTAAGAGTAGTGGGAGTTGGCACTCAGACCACTCCAATGGGTAGAAGTGGTGTGGGTGCCTACAGTGTCCCTTTAATAGGGAGTCTATGGGGTATGCTTTAACCGTGGTTTAGGTGCCTTCAGATGCAGTATTTACCTAGGTTAGCTACCCTAACTAATCCCAGAGAATACATACATACGTATTTATTTTGCTCTTTTGGATGACTGTTTTTGTAACTATAATCACGGTTGTGGTTGTAGTGGGGAAGGGGGTAGGTAATTATGATGAACTCCATCCCTCCTGTTTTCCCCTTTAAGTCCCATATTCACTCTTTTTAAGTAGAGATTGGTCTAATTATTAAGGTGGGGGTGGTGAATTAGCACTCTATACACCTATACTCCTGTTCCTTACAATCAGACTCTACTAATATACCAGTTTACTTCCATTACCTTTATCATTGTATCTACCCATACCATATATTCCCCTTTTAGAATATCTCTCTCTCTCGAATCTAAATGCCAAGTTTTATTCGTCCGATCCCCATAGACTGCTGCTATTTAGTTGGCTATATTTAGCCTTCCACTTGGAATAACATTTTATTACTAAACAGGGGTCTTTGATATGATTTTTCTACTTGGGTTGATCAAGAATTAGTAGATTTTCCTCACACTTGCTGTGATTGGTATATACAAGCCAGATAGGCAGACCCCCTAGGTTTCTCCTTTTTGTTATTACACTTTCACAATTATATAGATATGCCCTTTAAATACTAATAAAGTTTATATTAAAACATTGTTTCTTACCAGTTATATTAGGTTATACATGTTATATTTGTGCAATTTAATTAAGATTTTTTTTTTTTTTTTAAACATTACCCATACTCTTGACTTGAGCCCCTTTTTCAAAGATAGATTTAAAAAAATTCTGGGTATAGCCCATATTAACCATTTAGTCCATTCTTGACTCTTGGGTCAGGTTTTTCCTGCCCCTCTAGTCGTGTAATTTTGTCTCGATTTTGCACATCAGCGTGACGAAGGGAGGTAGCACTAAAGCAGAGGGACACCATAGAGTTATACATGTTTATATTCCTAACGCTATAGTAAGAGTTTCTACAAATAGAAAGTTACGCATCTGTCGATCATCATATACATTATCCAGGCATGTCACATGGAATTGTGACAATATTTCAATTAAGCTTGGCCATCAATTATTGCAGAATATCTAGAAATTTAATCTTGGATATAAAACATTTCAAAGTCTGGTTTACCATCGCTCCATCTTAGCAATGCATTTGGGCACTCCACTGCCCAAATACAAAATAAATATAACTACTATTTACTAGTTCTACCCAAATTAAAAACATGAAAGTTTACTTCTAATAGTCCTCCCTATTTGTTGTATATATAAAGACAGGGGTACATTGAAAAAACAGCTAGCAAAAGCATCAAGTAGGGGAGTACTGTGAATTAGTAAAAGTACCCCCCCAAAAATAAAACAAACAGGAATTTGTTCACTAATTATTAAATTACAAAATGTAGGCATAAATAGCATAGTTGGATACATTTGTGAATTTATCTGTCATCACACCTTCACACCACCACCACCTCCAAAGTGATCGAAATGAGCAATCACTAAAGTGAACTGACATGGCGTGTTTAATATTAAGACATTTTCCAGGACTTTTGGACTTATAATTTACCAAGTTAAAGAGACACTATAGTCACCAAAACAACTTTAGCTTAATGAAGCAGTTTTGGTGTATAGATCATGTCCCTGCCATTTAGGAGTTAAATCACTTTGTTTATTCAGTCTTAGTCACATTGCCAATATCTAAGCATGCACCAATCAGGTAGCCAGTGCATCAGGTTGCTGACTTTAGTGTAACCTGAAATAGCTGTATGCTGGAATTCTCAACATTCCTTCCACCCTTACCCACATTGAATGAGATGGACTTTCCCCAAGAGGTTTGTTTAAAACAGATGGTAGGCCGTGCATCAATTGAATAACTTACTTCAACTAAGCACCTTTCCTGCATACAGATCGCCTGTACCATACCGTACCACTACCTAAACATGGCAAACTGCAGAATCTAGCAACGGACAGCAATTCCCTCTTATTATACAGCGCCAGCAAATTCCATAGCGCTGTACAATTAGTGGAGTTACAGACACGTAATTGTAACCTTTAGCTTATCACTGCAAGAAATTAATTGGAATTCTTGGCCCATTAGGTTTTCCAAAAACAGGACAAATTCATTTTTAGGTATTTCTTATTTCAATATGACTGGGTCGGAGACAGCGGCCATAGTGACAGGACTCATCTCTGTTGAGCTTCGAGCAAACTAGAGCTTTAACTTTGTTTAAAAAAAAAAAAAAAAAAAAAAAACCACACCACTTCATCTTACCCAGCTTTTGCTGCTCCCTTCCTTAAGCTATGGGGCGCAGAAGCATGAAGTAAAAGGTAAACAAACTTCTGATCACTGCCGATATTGGCGATCTGCTGTGGAGGCCGCAAAATCCTGAAAGGCCTGTAGTGGTGACACCGTCAGATGGGTTTTCATGGTCTTCTAGTTAGAAGTCCTTTGTGAAGGAGGCAGACATAGCGACATGGGCAAAGGGAAAGTACAATAATTCACCTCCCAAGCCTGCCAGGAAGTCACCGGTCACAGAAGAGACACCGAGTGGCCTTCTGGATGAGCTCCACCACAATATTGCAGCCGATATAGGCCAACTACAAGACGAGATCAGCAGGGTATCTGCACAACAGGGAATTAAATATAGCTACCCATGAGCACCACACCTCAAGATTGGAACAGAAGCCGCAGACTTTGCAACATGCTCAAGCCCAAATCCAGGAACGTATGGCAGCTATGGAAGACTGGAGACGCAGAAAGAACACAAGTATGCGCAACCGGCCAGAAACCATAGAGGCTGCAGAGTTTCCTCATCTTTTTCGCAGACTACTTACCAATCTCTTCTCTCCTAAACAGACCAAAGCCAAGCTACGAGATGGATGGTACCGTATTCCAAAACCAGTCACTGGCAATCATGGGTCAAGCAGGGACATCCTAGTCCAAATGGCAGTGGTCCGCAATAAATGACCATTCTGCTTTGAGGGACACTCCCCTGTTTTCCGGACTTGTCTAAAGCCACCATGTACTGGCAGAGGTCCCTGCGGCCCTTTAACATGGAACATACCCTTCACAAGGTGCAGTACAGATGGGGCACACCACACTGCTGGTTATTTCCCAGGGCACTGGCACAGTAAAAGTTGTTGAGGGTTCAGAAGTGACAGCCATGCTACAGAAGCTAGAGCTCTCTGCCAGCATCGCAGAGCCGCCTAATCCATGCGAGACTGAGTGCATGAGACCCTGAGAGTGTTCGCCCATTTGTTTATTTTCTGGCAGAACTGAACTGGCTGGAAGGGAGACTGCAAATGTGGCCAGGATATGGCAGCTGAGGCGTTTTCAGAAGGACTGGAAATGACGTTGAGCAATCACAGAAGGACCAATATGGCTCCCGAAAAAGACATGACAATTAAAGGGCTGGGACAGTATTGAATTAAGGACGAAACAGTTGGGTTGGTCTGATGGACTGCCTTCTGAAGCACTTTACTATGATGTAAGCATTTTATAATGTTTATTGTAATAGCTTTTGTCTGTTTTACCCTAGTTTGGTGCCTTCTATTCCACTATATCCTGGGAGGATCTATTCATTCCAAGACAATTACTATCACACCCACGCAGACAGCCAGTGATGTAGAAGCTCAAGAAAATGCAAGTGTGATACTATAACCACATAGAGTCTCTAGAACCCCAAGACTATTATTTTTCCCCTTATGCATGCTTCTTTTATATGGTCCTCAAGAGCTCGGTTATGCCAGATACAATTCTTTGAAATTCTTGCTCCAGAAAAACTGAATGATACTATTAAACGTAATATAATGCACATCCTCGGTTTAAAAATATTAACATAAAATGTGAAACCAAATACAAAAAAACCCAAAAAAAAAAAAAAAAACCCCACAGTAAATGGTCACAGTGATAAAGGACACTTACCCAAGAAGCCCCTGGTCCCATCCCTTGATAACCTGCCCAGTGCCCAGTGTAAAGGTGAACGGCTGATTCCTGGGGATGCTGCTATCAAACTCTGTGCCATCTTCAAGCTTCCCCTAGGGATGAAATTAAAATGTTAGTCAATAATCTTTGGAAAAATTACAAAATATCCTTTCCCATACAGTACTTCAGCCCTACCACTTCCAACATGTGTCAGTTTACTAGCAGGATGGTCTAGAAAGCCACTCTCCACATAGAACAAACAAAAAGGAATAGAATATTAAAAGAACTGAAATAAAACATTGCTAAGAACAAACAGTTTTAGTAAGTTTTTCCATACATTGATACAGTCGCATTGTTTACATATAGTTGTTACATCGGTATAGTTTGTAGTACACCCATAGGAAAGCATTGCATTGGCTGAGATGGTCAATTCAGATGATCTCAGCCGAAGAAGGCGAGCCAGACAGGCAGAGCCAAACGCCACCCTGGCCAGTAAGTATCTCCTTATATAAATGTATATAATCAATGCATCCCTATGAGGAATGTTCAGTGTCTCCATGCAGAGGGTGGAGCCACTGAATGGCAGTGCTAGCCCCAGGAAGCACCACTAGTAGCCATCTGGTGAGTGGCCACTGCAGGTGTCCCTAGGCTGTAATGTAAACACGGTCTTTTCTCAAAAAAAAAAAAAAAAAAGAAAAAACACACACCCTACAGGATTTACAACAAAAAGCCAGCAGGGACATGGCATAGAAACCAGATCAACTACATTAAGCTGTAGTTCTGGTGACTGTAGTGTCCCTTTAAATCAATTTGTTTATGCAGCCCTAGACACACCGCATTGCATGTGACTTGCACAGCCATCCTAAAACACTTCCTGTAAAGAGTTATCTAATGTTTAATACTTCCTTTATTGCAAATGCCCTTTCATTTATAAATTTTGTATAAAGTTAAGCTGCGATTGAAAATTAAACATTTTCTTTCATGCAAGCTGCATCAGTCACATCCAGGGAGGATCTGGCTACAGCTGCATAGACCAAAACAAAAGTGATTTAACTCCTAAGTGGCAGATAATTGAGCAGTGAGACTTCAGAGGCATGAACTATACACATAAATTGCTTTATTAAGCTAAAGTGGTTTTGCTACTATAGTGTCCCTTTTACCTATCCCAAAGCATTCTTCTTCTGCAGTTTACACATGGCCCAGCGAGCAAATCTGTCAGATCAGCAGGGGCTACCCAGCTTGTAAACAAAGTAAGTATTTTATGAGCATCAGACAAAATACCTGCTGATGCTAGCACACTTTGACCAGAATACAGTCATAATTAATGGTGGAGTTCCACTCTGGACATGTATCACAGGAAAATGTAGCCTCACAATCTTGCTTTCCCAGAAAGCAGTACCTACATTTCAACTTGACTACACAGAAAGATAAAAATGGTCTTCAAGACAAATCTCAGTCTGAGATAACTGGAGATGGTAATAAAAACCATTCAAAAACTTCAAATTGGGAAGTAAAGGAAACAATTACTTTTTAAAACTTGATTGTACAGGGAGCCATTCAAAGATCTAAATAATAAAATTCTACCAAGATAAAACCCAAATGAAATAGAAAGGGTGAAAGATAAGGTAGGAAAAAGCAGAACGGGAGAAGAACGTAGAGGTGAAGCTAAGTTACACGAAACCTAAATTCCAAGTATGTATCAGCATACTAAGTGTTTTATCAATGACTATGTCTGTTGTGGTAGACGCCATCCACCCAGAGAGTCCATAATGTTTGATAGAAGAACATCCTTTTTGATACTAGCTTGCCCAAAAAGACAAGGGTTTCTAATCACCACTGCCCACGTTGGGGAAACAAATCAGTACGCCATGCCTCTGCAGAACCCCTTTGCTGAGTGACTACCTGCTTAGATAGGAGGAAGGACCAAGGGAGAGGTCTATTGGATAATGTAATAGTTCAGAGTGGAATTGATGTGAGGTGTATTTTGTATAACCACACAGACATTTTCGTTACCTCCTTCCAGTCATCTCAGGATAGGTATTGTCACCTATATTGTACAATTCAGATTTCAATATGCTACAACTCAAGATCAGTGAATAGCTTTAGTGAGGTTTTAGTTGGCATTTTCTATTCGTATATTTAAAATGTTATAAAATCAGATTTATAACTATAACATAGAACGCTTTTGGCCAAGGGGTAATAATATGTGATCTTAAATATCAAGGCAAAACACCAAGTCAGCAAGGTAGGATTACACTCTTCCATCCAACTACACAACCTCATGGTTTATTAAAACGATCATAAGAAACAGGAAAATATATTAAAATAAACAACCCACTAACACTGGTAGCTGGAAAAAAACAAAACCATGACCAAGGGCATCTGCCCACTTCATCTTAATATTTAGCCATGACCCTTTAAAACCATGTGTGGAGTATTGAGATGAACTGTGTGTGCAAGATTAAAAGAAATTCTCAACAGTAGCAAATGTCACATCCTACTCAATCCACATCCTGTCAGACTGGCGTAACTCAAAAACAGGATTAGGATTATTCCAAGAAAGCAAATATTTATACAACCTATAAACATACAAATGAGCTGCACAACGCATATGGAAGCAGTCCCTCTGGGTTATAAAGTTAATAACCTTCTGTGCTCAAAACGGCAGAGGTTGACAAGTCTCTGAGCATGGGTTTCAAAATAAATATTCAATAAAATGATTTTATACCATTTAGAATGTAACAAAAAAAAAAGTATATAGACTAACTTTCATTTGTAAATTGCAGAATAGAGCTAATAATGGCTTAGTGGGGGCGACGGCACTTTATAGAAACATAGAATGTGACGGCAAATAAGACCATTCGGCCCATCTAGTCTGCCCAATTTTCTAAATACTTTCATTAGTCCTTGGCCTAATCTTAGATCTAGGATATCCTTATGCCCATCCCACATATGCTTAAACTCCCTCACTGTGTTAATTGCTGCATAACCAGAGCATTCAGGATCAATACCCCTACCAGGGCCACCATCAGGATGGTATAGAAGTATTCTAGTAAGGGGCCTGTTCTAGTTGAGAAGCCCACACGTGTCCTGTTGGGAAGAAAAATTTCCAAACTGGACTGCACTGAAGATATCCCATAAAGCAGACCCCTACCAGAGGGCACTTACAGCCCATATTAGACTCCCTGGAAGGAAATGTCATAAGAGCACTCAGGAAGCCATGGAGGAGCTGGGAGCCTGCACACTAGACACTCCGCTGTCACTGGACCCATGGGGCCACTGTGGTCCAAGATGACAGAGAGTACCCTTGTGTTTTCAAAGATAACTAACTAGAGTTCCTTGGTTCCAGCAAGGATTAAACCTGCAGATTCCTTTAACTACGTGACGGTTCAAAGCCGCCAACGGGTGTTAAAGTCCTGTACTGCATGACGGCATAGACATTCACGTGATCCTATGGTGGTTGATAAGCTCCAAAAATCCTGATAGTGGTCACTTGTGATTTCTCCAAGGGAGAACCACATGAACGATATCAAAAGCAGACACAGTCTGTTCTCCAAACCTCACGCTCACTGAAAGGAAGAAGGAAGAAGGATCCTACTCCTCCAGAGGACCTGTAAGGATCTGCCTGACAGTGTAAAAATGGACAGGTGTATAATCTGGCTTCATAAAAAGATACATTTGGGAACCATTGTTGTACACATGGGGAATGGCTGAACAAGGTGTGTGAAAACACAAACAAAAACATTGGCACTCTGTGGCAGCAATATGTAACAATTGGCAGAGGCCAGGAAACAAAAAGCTAAAATGCATCCAGTTCTGATCACTCAGTGCTGTAAGTGACTGAGCGGTGTACATACATGTATGAGGAAGTCTTTTTCCTATTAGGAGGAGCATGGGTAAGGAGACAGGCATGTGGGGCAGCAGTCTGCAAATATTTGATGCAATAACAAAAAAATCGGAGATTTTTTTTTTTTTTTTTTAAAGTGAGATCAAGACAGATCACTGCAAACAAAATTTAGTGTGTATAAAAGTATTGCTTGATATTCATTAACTAATAAACTACATTTGCAATTTTAATAAGCTTTTTTTGTCAACAATAGAACTACAAGGTAGATGTTAAAGAGACACTGTAGGCACGATAACCTTTACATATCATATAAGTGATATTGCCTGAAACCTGCTGGCACTGTCAAACAGTTTAAAGAAAGTGTTAGGAATACAAATCTGTACTGCAAATCCTATAGTCTTCCTGACAGTAGAAGACAGCATTTGGAAATCCATATTTCTTTTGACAAAGTTTCCAAATATGGATTTCTTTTTATCTCAAAAGATATTGTACTGTGGCAATATTTCTAAGTGCTGGGTGTGGGATCACCATTTTACTGAGAAGGGGGGGAAAAATGGCCAGGTTACAGGTAAATAGTGTGACAGGGAGGAGTTGCAGTAAAGCAGAACATATACACACACACACACACACACACACACACACACACACTATTTGAGCACTCGTCCTCCCACCACATACATCGGACCAGAGTCCAAAACTCAAATCAGTATGCTGCTCATGCTTTTGCAAACGGTTTAAGATATACCCTCAATGACTACAAGTATAAATAAAAGGCATGCATGTATTTATTGGGGTGTATCTACTAAACACTGATTTCGATTCTCCCCCCCCCCCTCTATGGGCAATTAAAAAGGTTACTCCAGGTATGACTTCAGTGATTTGAAGTGGTCATGGTGCTGACTCTGCATACATACATACATAGCGTTTCACTATGAAATGCTGCACATATACAGAGACATCACTTTGCTGCCAGAGGTGTAACTCCACGCCCAGCAGTGTCATAAGGCACACAATAGTCAGTACCCTGGACGCGTTTCGCATCCCCAGGTGCTCTCAACATGTTGAGCAAGCACCAGGGGGTGCAAAACGCGTCAAGTGTTCTCCCTTATCTTTTTGTGGGTAGCGGTGTAGGTGGTCTCCCTCACGTCTGGCAGTAGCAGGTATCATTGTTTTGTGATAACATTATGCCATTTCCATTGCTCAATATACCTACTCTAATATTCAGCTTTTTTTTTTATTTTATTTTTTTAAGTGCTATCATGACTATTTCATGCCATACATTATTGCAATTTTTATATCAATATACGTGCACTTCTATATTATTTTTTAACCTGCATATTTTCTGTGGCTCATAAGGGTTTACTCCTGAGGGCAGACTGCATTATTTGTTTTGCATTTATGCTTCCAGTTTGGCTATTTTGGTCTGAAATTCTTTTTCAATTCTTGATACTGCTCACTTGAGTAAATAATACTGTGTGTTTGTGCACCCAGCACATTAACTGAATTAATGTCTGCAACCACACATTGCTACCACTAATTTTGGGCAGGCTGGGATCTGTATGTTGCAGTTCTACCATGAAATTTGGGCTCAAGTACTGCACAGTGTCAAGACACAGAATGCATTAGGGATGAGCATGGGAAAAAAAGATTTGGTTCAGTTCGGCACTTCGGGTAAGTGTAGGGTTAGGAGTGAGGTTGGGTTAGGAGTAGAGGTAACCCTAACCTTACCCATTTTGCCACTTTTCAGAAGTCCAAAGCACTTTGGCACTTACGAAATTCGGCACTTTGGAAGCATACGAATTTCCATTCGGACCGAACTGCACATGTCTGCAATGCATTACTTTCATTTAATGCACAGTGTGATGTCACCCACCATGTAGTAAAGGATTTAAAAACAGGATCTGCAGTAGGCAGATCATGTAATATTATAACTATCAAATTACAGCTGTAATTAGCCTTGAAGGAGAAAAAAAAACAAAAAACATAATGTGTGATGATACAGTATGAGAATAGCAATTATTACAAACATAAAAAAAATGCACTTGGCCTATGATGGTAAATAGATTTTGACAGAAACTGCTGATTTAGTTTAAGTGTTCTGTACATACTCACTGTATAATGCATATGCAAAGTGTCTCCTTTCCGAGATTTAATGGGGCAGTTTTCCACTCTTTTTTTCACACCAATCTGCAATTTTTTCCTGCCCTCGCTTGCTTGGGCTGGGGGTAGCAGGGAGAAGACAAGCAGACACCACAAGGGTGCAAGTGACAGAGCATTCATGGTGACGACAGGAGAAGCTCAATTACAATACACGATGAAACTCAGATGATCTGCAAACAAAACAAAAACCCCACAAACATAAAATACAGGTGGGCAACAATGATAAAGGATTTCATACAAAATCATTGGGTACCAGTCTATTAAAAGTCTTCTAACCAGAACACTATGATGGGTATATAACAGAGGGCTGTGTTTTGTTTTATAATTTCATACATTATCTCTACAACTAGTACTGTACCAGAGCACAGGTTCAACTAAACACAATATAACAGGAGTCTGATAAATACCAACCAGTCTGTCCAGGTTAGGAAAGAGCACATTGACACGGTTTTAACAGATCAGTACCAGATTACAGCTTCTAAAAAGAACAGATATTTTATGGATGGAAGGGCAAAACTGCAACAAGGTTGGTGAGAACACTTTATACGTGAATAATGGCACAAAACACACAGAAATGCTCCAAGAGCAAGGGTGATGTGTTCCCTTGTGAAAAGGAAATAAAAAAAAAATATTTATATATATATATAAATCCCACATACTCTGTATGACAGGGGTAGTCAGCCGGGATAACACCTGTAATTTAGCCATAGCTACCGCATGGATGAGAGTTCTATGTATCACCTGGCTTCCTACCCCTCCATAAACCAACTCAGCGGATCATCTTAAAAACGCAATTTGTGATCAGCTAAATTGGCACATGGCTCACTCCCCCCTCTCACAGAACCTTTTTTTAAAGTTCTCACACTCATTTGTATTAGATACAAATCGGCAGCACTTACCTTAATTGCTGGCTCTTCTCACAGAATTTTAACAGGTAGATTTCATATTTTTTTTTATGTTTTAATAGTTTGCCCCAAAGGACAAGAGCACCATTTTTAGATTATCAAAACTACTCCCTCCCCACAAGATTACCAGTATGTTTCCTCACTGCCCCGACGTACCCCTGTCTATGGGGGGACCCTTAATAATAAGAGCTTGTTCACATAGCCCTGAACATGTAATAAAAACGATCAGCATGCAATATACAGCACCTCTGTATAGCACCTGTTTATAAGCACCTTAAATATAAAACAGGAACGCAGCACCATAATTCAACAGTTTAGTGCAGTGAGTCAGTGTGCACCCCAAGTGCATTATTTCACACCCTCCCCCCCACAGTGTGACTAACAAAAAGAATAGTTAACCCAAACTCCCTCCCCCTCCCTTTAAACAGACACACAATACAGGTACACACATACACACAACAATTTAGTGTCTCCCCAATTATGAATATCAAATCACCTCCCAATAAAGTTAAGGTTCCCCTTTATCTAAAAACCCAGGCTTGGAACTCTGTGGAGTCCATTTAATGTTCCCTGCTATTAGTGGAGACCCCCTGAGTTTTCTGGTGTCCCTAGGAACCCAGACATCTTGTTCCCCCAATGGCCAACCAGCACCTCTCCTGTCTACCTCTTGCTCACGTAGAACCCATACATCTCCACCAGAAATTCCTTGCTCTCTCCCATTCCTTCTCCCACTCTCTCTGCTTGTCCATTCCCTCATTACCCATACGTCTTGTGGTTTCTGTCCTTCGCCCCTTGCCTCTTCCCTACAACCCCAAACTGCGGTCCCTTTACCCCTGCGATGCCCAGGTCCACTTCTACAGGAGCCTGCCCATCCTTGCCACCAGTTTACCCATTCCTGCAACTCAGGAGTTTCTGCTATTCTGCTTGTCTTCTTAATGGGAAGAACATGGACTCTGCTCAGACTGTCTGCTCCCTCCTCTTCACTGCAACTCCCTGGACCTTCACCTACCCTAAGTGTACTGTTTAAAGAATAACCACTCTCTGGAGACTTCATACCTGCAACTAAATTGCTTTCACAGTGTTCTGAAGCCCCTGCCTGTCCTAAATACAGTTGAAGGCACCAACACCAAGTACCCCCTTCCTCTAACTTTCCTTGGTTTCCATCATCTAAAGCACCTTCTATACAGCTCTGATTTTGATTTAACTTGGAGGATACACCATAATCTGCATGTTCATGATTCAGATTGTTTGAACGCTTATCTTCCATCTCCTCACCCCAGCTTCCATCCCATTCGTCCACACCCCCAGAATCTGTTCTAAATGGTTTTCCCATGGCTCCATGTATATTATGGCTTTTTTCCAGGTCAATCCATTCTGCAGAACCACTGGACCCATTCCCAGGACTCCTTTCTCCATAGCACCCAACTACGTCTGATCTTTCCTTTGAATCCCTCTCTGCCAGAACCTCGTGAGTTGAACCCTTAATTGCCTCCTGAATATCAGATTTTTCTTTAAGAAAGAACATCCTCGCTGATTCTTTGTCACAAACTTCCAGGGTTCCTATGTGGTTATCAACTAAACCACTCTTCCCTAGCCCACTAAATCCTTGCATCAAGCCCTTTGCATTTACCAACTCAATGTCATGACTTCCCACATTATCTGGTGACCTGCCTTCAAGTCTCAAGCCTTTTTCATCGGTGGTCTGAACTGTATCCTCATCTCCTCCTCTGTACAAATCAAGTAGACCATTTTCCTCCTCCTGCTGGGATATATCAGTACTAGAGACACTAGAAGATTCCTGTGGACCACAATTCAAGTCTCCCTGAGCTTCACCATCACTATACTCCCTATACATGTCTTGGCTCCCAGGCATTTTCTGAATATTCTGTTGACTGCTCAATGAAAGGAGTTTCTCACACTTTACGCTGCATAAAGCTTTGTGGCAACTTTCTCCATTTTCCTCCACACTCTCTTCCACCTGATCCCCTCTTTTCATCTCATGGTAGCACCTGTCTGGATCTCTGCAAGATGTGCCCTTTGCTTTGGGGCTGCAACCCACATGCCTCTGGCTACCTTCTATCTTTTCCTTATGCCTAATTTTCCTTTTCTGAGAATCCCTTCCCAAATTTTCTAGCTCCACTTCACTAAATTCCTTCTGCAGACCCCCTTTGCACTCATATTCTTCACTATCCCCTGGATCCCCGTGTCCCCTGGGTGCTGTACCCTCCCTATGGTCTCTGACTTGATCCTTGGACCCTTGTTCCCCATTTTTCAGGCTCTTATCCTCCCCCATAATCATGTCCTGCGGGGCCATATTAAAGCTGCCTTGGGCATCGTCCTCTCCCTCTTCTCTATGTCCCATAAACACATCCTGGGATCCACTGATGTCCCCACTGCTCCCAGGCAGCTCCTGGGGGCCCCTGTCCACCCTGCGCCCCATGATCAGTTCCTGGGGCCCCCTGATAACGTCCCATGTCACCCTGGGCCCACTCCTATATCTCCTCCTCTCCCTCCCCCGGCTCCCAGTACCCCTTTCATCCCCAGGCCTCCTCATCCCCCTCCCGGGGACTCCTCTACTTCCCTCACCTCTCCCTGATCTGTCTGCACGCCGCAGCTTCACACCGACTCAACCCCTCTTCCGCATCCGTGTACGTCACTCAGCCCGCCGACCAATAAAAGTCCAAAGTACAGTTACCATCCGCTCCGGATTGGTCGAAAACCGCGTTAAGCCCGCCCCCATCCCCCCACCTTTCCCCGCCACGTGATCAGAGCGCTACCTTGGGCATAGTGACAGGACGAAACCATCGCAGAAAGCTAGGGGGGGGGTTCACTGTGAAGATTTTTTTAAAATCTAAAACGAAGGCGGACTGGGTATAGAGTGATGGAAGGAATGTGTATTAATATGAACGCGTGGGAAAGGAGAAGTGACTAGAGGTCATAGTGAATAAATGCAATTGCTGGGTAAGAAAATAAGGAAAAAGTGCACCCCTCCAATGTTTGGCGAGTTGATATCAACCTGTGTCTAGACTTGAAGACCAAGTAAAACAATAGGAAACCAATAGAGAGCCATACATTGCATGGAGATAGCTGCTATAAATATATAAATAAATAAATAAATATATGGAACACAGTGTCCTGCCTCCTTCTATAGCTCAATACATGTACACACACATAATAGATGGCATATAAATAATACATGACTGTGAACTGTGTATTATGGGGAAATAATGCCATGGGGTTATGGAGAAAGCATAACTGAGTGGTTCATAAATATTTTCAGAACCCCAAGGTGGCATTATGTTCCCCTGGGGAAACCAAAGGAATGCTTCGCTATAATGTATATTCCATTTTCTATGATAGAGGATCAGAGCCGGACTAAAGGGAGACTATCTCATTGAAGTAGTGCGGGCGCAGTGTCCCTGTTTTAGATAAACTGCAATGTTTGCTCCGGATCGGCGTATACGACCGCGTGTTCCAGGTCCTGCCAATATCCAGCAACTTCGCACAGCCACTGAAGAGGAGTGGACCAACATTCCACAGGCCACAATCAACAACCTGATCAACTCTATGCGAAGGAGATGTGTTGCACTGCGTGAGGCAAATGGTGGTCACACCAGATACTGACTGGTAACACCCCAATACAGTAAAACTGCACATTTTAGAGTGGCCTTTTATTGTGGCCAGCCTAAGGCACACCTGTGCAATAATCATGCTGTCTAATCAGCATCTTGATATGCCACACCTGTGAGGTGGATGGATATTTGAGAGAAATAGGCCTTTTGTGTACATAGAAAAAGTCTTAGATCTTTGAGTTTAGCTCATGAAAAATGGGGGAGAAAACAAAAGTGTTGCATTTATAATTTTGTTCAGTGTATATATATATATATATATATAAAGAGAGAGAGAGAGATGGTTATATATAGGTATGATACAGATGTAAACTTTTTTTTTTTTTTTACCACATTAAACTACAAATTTATTTAAAAGTCCTGAGAGTGTACCTTCAATCTAATTGTATATACACTGCCTGGCCCAAAAAATAGTCGTTGTACCGCCTTTAGCTTTGATTACGGCATGCATTCGCTGTGGCATTGTTTGGATAAGCTTCTGCAATGTCACAAGATTTCCATCCACTGTTGCATTCATTTTTCACCAAGATCTTGTATGAGAGAGTCTGACCCCAAAGCCTTTTCCAGCACATCCCAAAGATTCTCAATGGGGGTCTGGACTCTGTGGTGGCCAATCCATGTGTAAAAATGATGTCTCATGCTCTCTGAACCTCTCTTTCACAATATGAGCCCGATGAATCCTGGCATTGTCATCTTGGAATATGCCTGTGCCATCAGGGAAGAAAAAGTCCATTGATGGAATAACCTGGTTATTGTGCATATTGAGGTAGTTAGCTGACCTCATTCTTTGGGCACATAATGTTGCTGAACCTTGACCTGACCAACTGCAGCAACCCCAGATCATAGAACTGCCCCCACAGGCTTGTACAGTAAGCACTAGGCATGAAGGGTGCTACACTTCATCTGCCTCTCTTCTTACCCTGATGTGCCCATCACTCTGGAACAGGGTAAATCTCCACTATCCTTCCAGTTTTTAATAATGCGTTGGACAGTTCTTAACTTAATTTTAGTAGTTTCTGCAATCTCCTTAGATGTTTTCTCTGCTTGATGCATGCCAATAATTTGACCCTTCTCAAACAAACTAACATCTTCTCCACGACCACGGGATGAAGGCCTGGACTGGCCATCGGGCACACCAGGCAAATGCCCTGTGGGCTGCGGTGGCCATGGGCCGAGGCCTGCAGGGAAGATCACAGGATCTCCCCTGCCGGCCTATGCAGGACCGGCACTATCTGAGCGCCGACCCTGCTACATTCCATGACGGCCGGTGGGTAGATCAAAGATCTCCCTCAACGGCCCACATGCAGTATATTGGGGCCGCCGGCAGGGGAGAGAGGGAGGGATACAAGAGAGGAATCCGGAGGAGCTCTAACTTACAGCTCCACCGGGTTCCTGTTACAAGAATCGGAGCGTTGCCATGGCAATGCTCCGGGTCTCGCGAGAGTGAACTCTAGCCACACAGGCTAGAGTTCACTCACCACTAGCACCACTAGGGATGGCAGAAGCATGATCCCCCCTCCCAGGCTAAAGGTAAGAAGGGAGGGGGGGATATAATCGCTCACAGCACCCTCACTCTCACACACATACCCTGCACCCCTGACACTCACAGAACCCTCACACACACACACACTGCACCCCTGACACTCACAACATCCTCACACACACTGCACCCCTGATACTCACAGCACCCTCACTCACACACACACACACACACACTGCATCTCTGACACTCACAGCACCCTCACTCACACACACACACTGCACCCCTGACACTCACAGCACCCTCACTCACACACATACTGCACCCCTGACTATCACAGCACCCTAACTCACACACAGTGCACCACTGACACTCACAGCACCCTCTCACACACACTGCACTCCTGATACTCACACACAACAAACTGCACCCATGACACTCACAGCACCCTCACTCACACACTACATTCCTGACACTCACATCACCCTCACACACACACAGCTTCCTCACACGCACATAGCACCCTCACGCAAACACAGCACACACAGACTGCACTCCTCACACACACAGCACCCTCACACACTACACCCCTCAAACACGTACTGCATCCCTCCTGCACACACACTACACCCCTTACACACACACACACACAGTACCCTCACATACACACACTGCACAATACTCTTTCCTGGCATTTTTGTCTCGTGGTATCCCATCTACGGAAACACCAGAGACAAATTTCAAGCAAACACAGTGCAAGCATGTTATTAAATTTGCTTACACTGTGCAGAACAAATACAGGGTCTTTTTCTCATGCTAGAACTCTTCAGTAGAGATCTGCGCATGGTCTGCCATGGAAGAGCATTGAACCAACATGCTCACTTTGTGATGGGACGTGCTTGTCATTGGTGATGACAAAAAACTACCGTTATGGCCCCGCCCCCTTTTTAGTGGGCCACTGTAATTTAAAAATGCCTGGGCTGGACTTTCTTCCTAGTCCGGCCCTGACAGGATATGTCTTTCGACATGGTTGTTTAAGAAATGAGAAGCTACTTATTGCATCAGTTGGGGTAAATAACTTGCCAGCTAAACGATAATCGCTAATGCACTAACTATCCAATCGCTAATGCACTAACTATCACCTATTTGCTTAGTTAAATCCAGGTTGCGACTTTTTTGGGGGCCAGGCAGTGTATTTATGTATATATATATTGGTATATAAAGGTATATTGTAAGGATTGTCTGACAATGTTAAATTGTATTTCTTTTTAATAATTTTAGCTCACGTACAAATTCACCTATGTGCATGTATAGAGACTCATGATACAGATTAAGTGTAGTAAAACACTATGTCCAGTACTATGTATATATTATTTATTTATATATATATATATATATATATATACATACATATATTTTTTTTTTTTATTAGCCACATAATGCAGTTTGTCAGTGTAAACAATCCTGTGTGTTTTGCTGGCTGTGCTGTACTAGTGCAGACTGATCAATGTGAGTTGAACTGAGGACGCTCACTGGAGAGTCAGATGAGGACATGAGAGAGGAAAAAATCTGTGAATTAGAGAAAAAGCATAGCTTAGACAGTGGCAGGGCTGTCTGATAGTTAGATGTATTTATTTATCAGCAGGAGATCAGCTGGCACTTGGAGTACTAGCATCACCGTAAACATATTTAACTTTAGAAATAACGTTCAATAAATAATCATTTGCAGCTACCTCTTTTAACCTTATGCATTTCTGACGATTAGCTACATATGCAGTTCTCAAAAATTAAATTAAGTTATAACGCAAGGCAAAAAAAGTGACTTGCCACCTTAAATGTGTATGTACACATGTAGTTTTCGTTATGTTTGTTCTCTTTTTTTATTATAATTCTTTATTTATATTGTGCATAATGATAACAACAAGCTTGGTGGGCATAACAGCACTTCCAAGCAAGGTAATAGCAAGTACATAGCCATGGAATTCAGTTAGACAGCACATTTTGTATTATATTATGCTAAAACAAGCCCAATAAGATCAACAAACATTTTGGAAAACAAACATTCAGGCTACGCTAACAAGCTTACGATGCCACTCTAGTATTGTCGATTATCCTTAAGGTACACATAAAACAAAATCATGTCATTACGGTGAATGGCACATTGTTATAAAAGAAAATTAATATTAAATAATATTAATAATAATATTAAATTAAATTCTCTGAGGTTAGCACTCGAGAGTAAAATCTTGTTGCTTATTTTGTATAATAGAATATAGTGTTTTGCATTGTTTTATAAAATAAACTAAGGACAAAAGAAAAAACATAATTAAGAAAGCATTGACAATAGCTAGTCAGGAAGAGGTATAATACTAAATGTAGAGTTCCACAGAGTAGATTTCTTGCATGTGAGTGTATAACCACTAAGGAGCATAAAGCAGGCCTATA